CCTCGGTTATGGCTCCATTCTCGTTCGGGGTTCTGTCGACGTTGCGGACGGGGATGGGTTCTGGGAGCGGGGTCGTCTCGAGCCCATGCTTCCTAATGAACTCGGGGCTTACAAAGTTCCCGGTGGCTCCCGAGTCTAGGAGCGCTGATACGGAGACGGTGGCGAGGGAGGTTAAGGTGGTCAGCTTTACAGCCATGTTGAGGGATCTGGGGGGTTGCTTGGACAGCACGTAGATGGCGGGTGACGGGACCGCTACCTTCGGTGCTGCGCTTGGGGCTTCTTTGCCCTTACTACTCGAGGATGCGATTTTCCTCTTTTTCTTGGCGATGACTCGGTGGAATTTGGAGGTCGGCACTTGCTTAGGTGCCTCACGGTATCTACACGAGTTACTACTATCGCCTACAGGCGGCCGGAGCGCGTCCTTCACCGGTCACCTTCCCGAAAATCCTCTTGGGGCTCTGCCTCTTGCCCGTCTCCTCCATCCGTTTCTGGTTCGTCTACCAACTGCCTTCTCAGCCCTTCCATGAGTGCCCTAAGGTCCTCTGGGTGCATTCGCCTGGCTCGGCGAGTTTTCGGTTGCGGGCAGTCTCGCGCGACGTGCCCCGGTGCGTTGCAGTTATAGCACAGCCCGTTCCGTCTCTGGTCTATCCTCGAGCGGTCGAGGTCCATGGGCTGTGGTCCTCCTCCCACCGCGGGGCGCGCTGCAGGAGGCGGCGGTGCGGCGGTGGTTGGGGGGCGAAGAGATGGAGGAGCTGGGCGCACTTGCGGGAAGGTAGTAGGGAGCGGGGGTCTCGTGGGTGGGAGTTGGGGTCTGGCTGGGGGTAGGCGGGGCTGCGTTGCCTGGAAGCACTGCCACTGGTTGTCAAGGAGGGTGGCTTCGCATTTCCACTCGGCCCAGGTAGTTGGCATGGGGCGGAGGCGATAGATGCTCTCTCGGAGCCGGGAGTTGATCGCCTGCTCGAAGCGGTCTACTAGCCCTACATCTCCTAGCTGCGAGGTGGGGCCGAGGATCTCGAACTCTTGGATGACCTTGTCCACAGAGTCGGTGCCCTGTCGCAGGGTGGCCAGCTTCTGCCTGGCCGTGGCTTCGCGGTTCGGGTCTTGGAACATGGCGTCGAGCTCCGTGTTGAACTCGTCCATGGTAAGCCCGGGGGAGCCCGTTGTCAACAGCGCGATGGTACGCTGCGTCGCCCATGCTCCCACGGTCCCTCCCTTCATGTAAGACAGGACGAAGAGAATCTGGGAGAGGGCGTCGGGAAACTCCGCCGCCTGAACATGGAAGTAGATGCCGCATTCAGCCTTGAAGCGGTCAAGGTCTTCGGTTGCTCCGGAGAAGGGGGTGGGGGGGGCAACTTTGGGCGGTTTGGGTCTGGGGGCGGGTGTGGGCGCGGGTGCGGGCGCTGGCACGGGTGCGGGCGCAGCTGGGGGTTGGCTCTGGGCTTGGCTTTCTACGATAGCCTGGAGCTCTTGAAATCGGGACAGCAGCTCGTCATACTGCTCTTCGGTCACCATAGCGGGGGAGATGGGGGAGGCGGGGGAATGAGGTTAAAGCCTTCTTCTGCTGTCAGGTACAGCTCCGAAAGCGGCGAGGTCCCGGCGCAAGGGACTCGATGGGACAGGTGTCGGCTATGCGTAGCGGCGGTCCTGTCGTGGGGTGAGCGTCCCCGACCACTTAGGCTGAAGTGGGAAGTTGGTTTATCATTAAAAGGGAACAGCTATGGTACTTACCTGAAGTGGGAAGTTGAGAAGAAGGCTGCTTCTTCTGTTCCCACCCCAGGCGCTATTATATACATGCGGTCAGGGTCATGTGGAGGAGGCCGCGTCATCTCCGCGCACAGCCGCACCTTCCCGGGTGTCTCCGCGGGAGATCCCGGAGGTAGCTGCTCGGTAGGCAGGAGTGTGTGCGGCGCATGCGGCGATCAGGGGAATGGGGTTAGGTATATAGTAATACATGGACAAAAGGGGAATCGACCGTGGAATAGAAATAAAGAGAAAGGGGAAAAGTGAGGAAGGAGGGACGGGGGGTGATAGTGGGGGAAGCGGAGTAGGGTGGTGCGGCGCGGGATGCGGGGTCAGGCGGGTGTGCCCTGACACCACCATCCTTTCGGGATGTCTTCTAGAAGTCTTTGGGCCTTGCCCCTCAAGACCTCTGGTCCGGGAACATCAGCAAGTGGATATAGGATGCATAAGAGTCATAGTTTGCATGTCGCGAAGTCGTGTGGGGACTCCTTAGAGTACCTTTCACCCTTACAGTACCTGCAAGCATGGAATCGATCTTGAATCTTGTCGAGGAAGGCGGGTGTTAAGAAGAAATGTAGCACATATCTGTGTAGATCTTCCCAATTGGTGGTAAAATACAACTTGTCAGCGACCGGTACAGTTGACCACCAGTCTGCCAGAGCACCCTTGAAACGATCAGGAAGTATGCAGGTCATTTGTTGGGCGAAAGCAGGCGAGTGCCTGGCCAGGTTCTGACATATGCTGCACCATGTTATATAGCTGTCGATTGAACCATTGAACTCCGGGAAGTCTGACATAGTATATTTGCGATCCACATAAGGTTGCATGCAGTTGAGAGGAGGATGTCTGTATCCAGGATTCTGCTGAGGCGCTGCCAACACTCCAGGTCCGGGAGGTGGGGGAGGGGGTGGTGCCCCAGCATATCTGACAGGTAGAATATGCCCCGGGTATGGAGCCCCACCGGGTGGAGGAGGTGGTCCAGGTGGAGGTGGTGGTCCTGATGGGGGTGGTGGACCCGCACCTCGTGGTGGTGGCTGCCAGGGGTCGAGAGGCAGTTGTCTTGGATCGTGATCTGGATCTCTGGATCCAATGGGTCCTTCATTCGCCAGATGGTGAGGAACATGAGGGGGTTTGGGTCCACGATTGTCAGGATCGAGTCTCTCCTTGACAGGTCCCAGCTCTGTCTTCCTTCCGACCTTCAAACCTCTCACAAATTCCATGTAACCCACGTTCTCCTTGGGGTTCTCGAAAGCATTGGTCTCTTGATGAATTGTGACGAACGGCATCGAGGGTTCGTCTCTGGGTAGCATCCCTGCAGTGACATTAATACTGGTCTAGGCACCGGGAAAGCCCTGGACAGTTGGGTGCATTTACAAACGAAAGTGGTCCCTTCAGCGGGAGATATGAGATCCTCAAATGTGGTCCATCCTGACGGGAGGGCTTCAGGTTGATGAGTGGGTCGCATTTCAGTCGACCACACCTCCTCGACTTGCCCAGGATCCGTAATCTTGGTGGGCAAGACATTCACCAACCTGAGTCCACTCATGTGCGACTCGTCAAATTCCTGTGAAGGATGAGCAGCTTTCTTGATGGCGTTGAAATGTTTTTCGAAGGAATTGAAGCGCTGGTCTAGGAAGTTCCATGCAATGCTGAACTCTTTGGGTGATGACCATCCTCTTATGGTGAATATCAGGGCGAGGTCGCCTTGGGGATCCACTACGAAATCACCTGCGGCTAAGTTGGCCTTGGTGGCTAGCTGGGTGAACTCGGTAATTTCATGAGCAGGTCGGTTAGCTCGACCTGCCAGACAGTCCCTAGTCGATATCTCAAAGGCTCTCCTTCGAGACTGGCTCCAACAGACTCTTTCTTGAGATCAGCGGGAGCGAGATGACGCCAATTTCGTATACATTTCATGTAGTTATTCGAATCCTCAAAAATTCCACCTTCAAACTCTCCAAGAGCTTCAATGACTTGCCTGAGAGCTTGTTGTCTTAGGAATGCGCCAGGCAAGGAATGCACATCTTTGCCTACTGGCGAGGTATCTCTTGAGTTGGATCTACAATCTGACTGACTGATCCTTGTGGGGCAGGAAGGAGGATATGGTTCGTGTGTCACGTGGACCAGGGTGACTGGTTCATCTCCCAACAGGGACACCGTCTTTGGTGGCATGGTGCGAGTTTCTCGCACTGGGGTTGGGGCACCAATGTTACGGGGATGGGGGGAAATCCCCATTCCTTGATCCGTTCTTATAGTGGGATGATGAACGCTGTATCTAGTCTGTACCATAATGGGATATGTAATCGATGAATGATCCCAGTCTTGCATGGGAGTGGACAATCAAATTCCCATTGATTGTGATTGGTGATGTAGTGAGCTATTAAGGGATTGATGGTAGGTAGTCGGAGACGTCAGGACGGATGGGTCAGCCATGGGTACTTGGTGCTCCTCAATGGAGCATACTGTGTGCGAGGTCGCGACTCATGAGGTGGGTGAGAACTTTGTATAACTGCCATCAGGTACTTGGCATTCGCAGCGCAAATGTACTGGTAGCAGGTTGATATCATGAGCATGCAATGAGGATTGACTAACGGGGCCTTCGGTGACTTGGCGTTCCCAAAGGGAACATACCGTTGGCAGGGGAATATGATGACTGACAAAGGAGGGAACAGATGGTGGATGGACAGCTACTTGGCATTCACATAGCGAACGTGCCGGCATCATGGGAAAGTGGACCTCAGAGTATTCATGATCTCCAAGATCGTGATGTGACGTCATCTGTCAAGTGTTGGGGGGAGAGTGGAGTGATGAAGTCCCATAGGGTACAGATTCCATAGGATGATACACATGTTGAGAGTCTTCGACTCGCGACCTCGAGTTCTCATGGTGAGGACCATTAGAGGACTCAACATAACCAGACTTATAAGACATGTTGTGAGTTGTACAGTCACACAGGTTCAGTTGAGTCACAGGAAGGGTTGTTACAGAAGATGACACACAAGACAGTTGTAGAGAGTAGTTGTTAGTTAGTGGGAACCGCCTTTGGCAGTTTCCGTACAAGACACGTGACTATCTACAAATGGTAAGGTCATGGGAAATCCCACGAAACACAAGTAACCTCAGCCAGCACCAAAACCCCAATGGGGAAAGCTTTGCACAAGGGGGGGAAGGGGTAGAACGAGTAAGGAGGGTAGGGTATCAGGATAGAGGGCAAAAGGGAGAAAGAGGGGGAGCAATAGAGAGGAGAAGTCTTTGACTATGCAATGGATATGGTCATTGGAGACTCCATATCCGTAACAAATAACCTCAGAAACGAGAATAAGGAATTACAGGAGAATTTCCACGGGCTCAAGATCGAGAACGTTCATCTCGATCTCAAGTTGAGAAACTATTCCTGTCACCAATCATGGCTCCGAGACAAGTGCAATGACCTCGAAAAACAGATCGATCACATGGAAAAGGAAGCTAACACCTACAAGGGCTCTCGCCCTCATAAGATCCCTCACATGTCGAGAGTAGGTACACCACCCATACCATCTCAACACAGCCAGCATAGGGCACCAGTGGTCCCTATGTCTGTTTCAAATGTTGAGGTGCATAACCACGCTGCAAGACCTCCTGTCCCAACAAGGGTAAGGGTTCCTCTTGCTGGCCTCATGGACAGCCATTATGGTCACCATGCGGCTCCCATTCCTCCCCTGGGGCCTCAAGGGCCCTCATCTTCTTTTGGTGCCATGACAGCACCTCCTCCTCCCCAACCCAGCAAGGTGCCTAACTTAGTCCCAGAGGGGTATTCGTGGTTCGCTGAGGCGAATCGCTCTCCCGCTGCTGGGAACTGGAGAAATGTCCCTATCCCAGGCACGGTTTTTCCAGGGTGACTTCTGCTTTGGTGTCACTATCAGTGGCCAAAACTGGCCTGTGTTGGACAGTCATAACCACCACCAAAAGCGGTGGAATGACTGGGTTCACCCATTCTTGAACTTGATTGAAGGGTTCAAGTTCATGGTGGACTTGAAATGGCTTGACCATGAAATGAGGAATGGGTTCAACAGTGCTTCGCTGGAGGCTCATCAACTTCATGGTCAATTCTTTGACATTAAGTTCGTGAACAGACAGAACATGTCTGCCACTGAACTCAATGGATGTTTTGGGGATCGTCCCCGAAATTTCGAAAATACTAACGAGGCAGGGAAGAAGTATCTTCTTTGCTGCCTGTTAGAACTGGGCGAGGGCGGACAATTCCGGAGGGGAACCGGAGACTTAGCAAGGAGGGACCTTGGCCTCAGCGACTCATGCAGAGCGCTGTGCCATTGCTGTTTGTCCATTTGGTCCTTAATTTCAGAGGCAGCAAGCAGGAAGTCTCTAGGGGGCATTTCAGGTCGATTTTAGACTGAAGGTCCAAAACGAGTATGTACAGGCACCTGTATATAATAGGGAGACGATAGCACAAGGAAATCAAAGGGGGTCCAAAATGGAACAAAGGCATCCGAACAGGAACAAAGGGATAGAAGTGGAGCGGCACCAAAAGGTCATAGGTTAGATCCTGTGGCACATCCGAAAGGAGATAGGGAGGGTGAAGCCCAGAAGGGCAGGAGGATGAGGGGAATGCGTGAAAGATACATTACAAACAGCGAAAGTGCCAAGTATGATCCATGGAGCTCAGAGGTTGCGGAGCTTACAGAGGTTACAGAGGTGGGGTTGACAGTCCAAGGAATGTTGGCAATGGTGTTTACGTAGTATGAGGTCACCAATGCAACTGAGGTGGAGTCAAAGTCTGAGGTCGGAACTATGATGGAATCTCGGAGCGAAGGTATGAGTGGTGTCTGAGTACAGGGTATGGGACAATGGCAGAAGGTCGTAACTTGCTGGAGGTTTGGCAGAAGAGGGTCAGAGGGAGGAGAGAGAAGAGAGGAGCAGGGTGAGGAGTGGAGGAGAGGAAAGGTGTCAGGTCCAAAGGTGAGTATCAGAGCAGACGGAAGTAGGGTAGGAGAGTGATGGAAGGGTGGAGGTGTCATGAGGAGTAAGAGGAGGAGGGTGGCAAGAGGAGTGATGTTCAGTCCGAGGTGAGTATTGGAGCGGATGGAGATAGGGTAGGACTCTGGAGGTGGTGAGGATGGGGGTCCAGGAGTTGGATCAGGATCAGGTATGTATGGATATGACACTGCCTCTGGAAACACTACCACTCAGAAGCGGCACAAATAATGAAGGTGACTAGCACCACTGCATATGGCCATTCCAGGTTGCAGGTAAGTGACCCTGGTTCTTGTTGGAGAATATAATATGTTCCCAATAGTATAGAGTTTAACAGCCTATACTGGCATGGCTCATGGGTGAGTAGTGTATGAATGCATGCTAGAGGTCCTGGGTGTCAAGCACACACGAGGAGGGCAGTGTCCCTGGACCTTTCCCCAGAAGGAGGCCAGAGGTAGAGAATGAGCAGAGGGACTGTGGCCTCAGTGACTCAGAGAGGAGCGCTGTGCCTATGTTCGGTAATGCTTTAGGAGTCTGGTCCTTAACTTGAGAACAAGAGGGTGCGAACTCTGGGGGAGTAGTCGTCGATTTTGCACTCAGGTGCCATCAACTACTTATATACATAAGAGAGGACAAATGGGAACAAAGGGGAAAACCCAAGGGGGACTTACCCACTTGCCGGGTCAGTGAGCTCATGAGAGAATCGCCTTATCAAGCATTGTGGAGTGGGTAGGTGAAGGGTGGAATTAGCGACAGCTACTAGAAGTGGGAGAACCTTTGCAGAGTGAGTGGAGGTCCTAGGAGGTCCATAGTAATATTGGGTAGATAGAAATATTAATAAACGTGTAAGATGAAGATAAGAGGTACCAGAGAAGGTACCAGAGATTGGAAGCAGAGGTGAACTGAAGGTGAACCGGAGGGTATAGCAGAGGTGCAGGGGGAGGACAAACCAGAGGTGGTCCGGAATGGTGGTGGAGTGGAGTGGAGGTGAGGTGGAGTTGGTATGGATGTGACACTGGGTTTGATACCAGGCTTGTCCATAATTTCATGTCCTTGCCATGTGACCTGGATTTGAAGCCATTTGAATTGGAGCTCCGGATAAGTCTAGTAGTCACACCGGATACAATTTTGACAGTTCTGCCATTTCAGGACCCCCCAGGTTCCACCTCCTCACTATACAATGGTGGATAATAATCCACCATTGCCATATTCGCAGGTAATAGAACCCACCCTGCCCCATAACCTCATTCCCCACACTGAGGGAATGTTGGTGGATGACGGTGTGGTAGAAGAGGCCCCAAGGCCAAGACGTTTCCCGGTGGCCCAAAGGATGCAGGCCCCCTCTGCTGAGAATGCAGTGGCAGGCCCATCTAGAGGGCCCCAGGCTAGTGGGTCCATGCCCGCCTGAAAGGGCAAAGCCAAGAAGGACTGATGTCCCCTTGGTAACCCCTGCCCACACTCGATGAGTGGGATGGGGTGTTTCTTGCCCAACAAGCAGAAAAGGTCTAACAACCTTGGCTGCCTAGCTTAACTTCTGCAAGAGTGTTGAAGGTCTGACCACCTTCGTCGCATTCTATACTTGTTCCAGGAGGCTGGGGTTTAACCACCTCTGCCCAATTATTCTTGTTCAATTGAGTAACTGGGGCCTAACCGCCCTGGCTACCACCCTTCTCCTTGCTGTGTCATATCCATACATACCTGATCCCAATCCGACTCCCAGACCTCCTTCTTCACCACCTTCAGAGTCCTACCCTACTGCTGTCCATTCCAATATTCACCTTTGGACCTGACACCACTCCTCCTCTCACAACACCTCCACCCTTCTGTCCCTCTCCTACCCTTCCCCCATCCACTCCGATACTCACCTTTGGACCTGACTCCTCTCCTCTCCTCCACTCCTCACCCCACTCCTCTCTTCTCCCTCTTCCCTCTGACCCTCTCCTGCCATACCTCTGCCAAGTTACAACCTTCCGCCACTCCGTACCCTGTACTTGGACATCGCTCATACCTTCGCTCTGAGATCCTGTCATAGTTCTGACCTCGGACTTTGACTCCACCTTGGCTTAAGTCCATTGCATTGGTGACCTCATACTACATAAACACCATTACCAATATCCCTTGGACTTTCAACCCCACCTCCGTAAGCTCCGTAAGCTCTGTGACCTCCGAGCTCCACAGATCATATTCGGCACTTTCGCCACTTGTAATGTATCTTTCGCATTTCTCCCTCATCCTTATTTGGACTGCTGCTACTTCCCATTCTAGCCAGTTAGTCATCATCTGTCAGGGCACAGCCCCTGACCCCACACACCCTTAGGTACCCTTTCCCCATTTTCTCCTATTTTTCCCTTCACTGTTCCACAATCCCGCATGCATGCAGACCGTGGGAACGTTCTGGGCGAGTTACTCGCCCAGAAACCATCACAGCCACAACCGTGGGAAGATTCTGGGTGAGCAGCTCGCCCAGAATCTTCCCACGGGGGGGGTGCCAATTATGGAAAGTCGGCAAAGAGCCGAAAACTGTATAGTTCCCGGCTCCCATTTGTAGCGGCTTCACAGGAGGTTGAGAAGGTTACCCTTCTTCTCAACTCATTTCCTGTGAAGGCTGGGGCTAGCCCCCTCAGTGAGTTTGAAGACCTCGGACTGGGACTAGATACCCCAGCGACTCGGAGGATCCCCTTGGGCCCGTCACAGAACAAGGGCCGGACCCTGACATCATCCCCACTTCCCCTCACCCTCCTGCCCCTCTGGGCCTCGCCCTCCCTATCTCCTTTCAGACATACCATGGGTGCTGACCTATGACCTTCGGTACTGCTCCGCTTTCGTCTTCCCTTTGTCCCATTTGGATGCCTTAGTTCTGATTCGGATCTTTCTTGTTTCCTCATGCTTTCGCCCTCTCCTTTATATACCAGTGCTTGTACATACTCGTTTTAGGCCCTTAGTCTAAAATCGACCTGAAATGCCCCCTAGAGACTTCCTGCTCACTGCCTATGAAATTAAGATGGACAAACAGCAAGGGCACAGCACTCTGCTTGAGTCGCTGAGGCCAAGGTCCCTCCTTGCTAAGTCTCCAGTTCCCCTCTGGAATCGTCCACCCTCGCCCAGTTCTAACACACTGAGCATCTCAGGTCTAACCACCTGCAAGGCCTGCGACTCTGATGCAGAGCGAATTGAGGTCTAACCACTTGCCTGTGCCTTGGCATCCACAAAGAGAAACTGGGGTCTGACCACCTCTGTTTCCTTGTGTCTATTGTTAATTACCTTCTTGTCGAATGTGTCAAAAACCCCCTGGGATCGTAGGGGAAAATGCGTGAGTCTGAATGCAGGCGGGGGCTCAACTAGATGGGATCTGGGAGCTCCGGTAGCTTCCCCAGGAAGCCCGGTTCTGCTGGATGGTACAAGAGGCTCTAAGGAGGATGTGGCCTCAGCGACTCGGAGGGAGCGCTGTGCCTCCGTTACATCTCAGTTAGTCCTTGTATTTCTTATGTCTGAGGTATCTTGTAGGAAGGGGTTGGGATTCACTCAGAGGGACTTGGGGTAGCTTTTTAGAACTGAGGAAAACTACAGGTTCTAATCTACAGGTATTTATAAGGGGGAATGGGAAGGACTTAGTCAAAGTCCGAATGACAATAAAGAACACCAAAAGGTGCCGAATGATATCTTTAATGGGGAACCGAGGTGTCGGGTCAAGGGGGGCGGAGTAAGAGGCCAGAGAATGAATGGGAACGAGAAATGGGTAAGAGGGGGTTAGCTGACTGAATGGTAAGAAAAAAATAGTCATGCTAAGAATGGAAGGTGACTAATAAATGATGACATGAGAGGGGTCACCGAAGGATGCGGGTAGCTCCGAAAGCGGAGTTGCGTATCCAAAGGATGTTGGGTGACTCCAATAAATGAAATGGGTGGAGGAATGGTTTAGGGGTATGTCACGGGATGTCAGAGGTCCATCGGGGTATTGGAGCAAATCCGGAGTCTCCGAATGTTCCGACTTGGGACTGAGCTTCCGGGGTGGGAGTGGCCAAGGTTCGGTGTGCTGCAACCAGACCAGAGCTGAGACAGTTAGGAAGGGAGGTGACTTGGGGAGTGGTGAGGCTTGGTGTAGGGGATGGTGAAGTTGTTAGGAAGGTGTGGTGTGGTGGGAGTGCACAGGGTCAGGAATCCGGGATATGACAGAATGCATGTTTGTCGCATTTCTTGTTAAATTTTGTATATCTTTATTTCTTGCTCACAATAGAATATTTTTTTGATTCTCGTTTGCGATATTGAATATCGCAAGGGAGGAGAGTGTAAGGACTTACAATGTGTACCCACACATTGTCTGTCTTTTCCATACTTCACATCTAGCACGACTGCAGTTGTGCTCCAGTAACATAAACAACCTGTATAATATTAAGCCACATTACATCATGTAAATACACATATATATATAAGACATGCAGGTAGGAGGAAAGGCTCCTCAGCCTTTACTCCCCCATTAACAATATAGCTCATTAAAGTGTATTTGTGTGACGGACCGGGAGTGTGAGGCGCTTATAACCACACACTTACAATCGGGTATCCGAGCCGAGTCTGTGCATGGGTGATTATCCCACCTACAGCGCTGGTAAACTTCTTGCTAAAACTTCATGTTCTTGTTGGGACCACCTCTCTGTCGGGGGAGTCCTCTTTGTAAATACAGGAAAGAGGTAACTATAAATATGAAAGAAATACATGTGTAAATCCGAATGATCCGACGGGTTCAGGATGGCAACAGATCCACAAGGAACAAATAAGAAAAAAGTAATATCAAAGTAATATTGATGTTGTTAAGGAAATAAAGAAACATGGCGATCGGGACAACCGCTAAACCAAATGCGTCACTCGTAATATTTTTCGATCCGTGTTGACAAGGGCTTTCCAACGATACCAAATTCGTCCGGATCGGTGGAGAATTGATGGAGATACAGAGGAAGCGGTGGAATATGCGGGTGACAGTTACCCAATTTGGAAACTGATGGTTGTGCATGGTCAGGAATGGTTAAAGAAAATCGGAAAAAATATGAGAAACATGGGAGGGGTATCTGGAACAGTGGTAAATGTGTTTGAGAAGTGAGGTGCTTGACATGGGTGGTAGAATCGTGATGATCAGCTCGTTTGCATTGTACTGGCTGTGCCTGCCTACAGTGCTCCGCATGAGTCGCTGAGGCTGAGGTCCTTCCATGCTAAGTCTCCAATTCCATTCTGGAGTTGTCCAAATCCACCATATCTAACGCCTGTGATGGGACCACCACTACACATAGCTGCTACTCGTCCCATCAAGTCCCCCACACCAGGACCTCGCCACTTTTGGAGCTGTCCCTGACAGTCAGCTAGCCATTCCTGACTCCCTTCCTCCTTCCTTCCTCTTTGGGCCTTGGCCCTTCACTCCTCCTTTGGGAAACACCATTGAGTCAAACCCTTGACCCTCAGTGTTGCTCCCCCTTCCAGCTCCCTTTGTCTACTTCCAGACTACCCTTGTTCATTTTGATTCCAGACCCCTCCTTTATATACAATGTACTTAGTAACTTGTAACCTCAGTCCAAAATCGACTTGATTCCCCCCTAAGAGACTTTCCCTCTGCTAGATCTGAAATCAGGGACCCCCAGGACAACCAGCAATGGCACAGTGCTCCACCTGAGTTGCTGAGGCCAAGCTCCTTCCACACTAAGTCTCTGATTCCATTCCAGAGTCATCCAAACTTGCCATATCTAACATGCTGAGTGACCCCCCTGAGACCTCACAGGAGGTATGGTGTGGTTGTCTGAGGTCAGGGTACTGGATGGAATGGGGGGTTGTACCTTAGTGGAGATTGGCAGGGTGTCAGGGTACCGAGCTGCTCGGACTCTAAGTTGAGGGATCCCAAGCCTTCGCTGGAGCTGAGGCCGAGGGGGACAGGATCAGTCTCAATGGGGGAACCCAGCAAAGCGGATTGCGATAGGGATTCCAGCTGAGCAGCGAGGGGAAGTGAGAGAAGAAAGTTATCTTCCTCACTCGCTACCCAGGGAATGATAAAGTCAGTATACCCGGCGAAGCGGGGCCGCTCTGCAGAAGGAAATATAACAAATGTCTGTGCCAGTCTGGGGATGATGATCAGGCTGTGTGGGTATGGGGCAGGTGTGTCATCAGTTGTGTGTAAGCAGTCCGGACTTAACTCTGACACAGGGGAAGAGTTGGGGGGATGGAAGGTGATGTTGGATCCATGTCAGGGCATGCCTTCTGGGCAGTAGCATAAGTAGTGCAGTGTCAGGGATGCATTCAGGGTAGAGGGGGTCCAGATGTATCGCCTGGCAGAGGGGCCCTCGCAGGGTGTGAACCGGGCATGCTGTCAGGTCACGGTCCATGTATGTAGGGGGTCACGTGACCCAGGGAGGTCACTATCGTCCTACCCACTGTGAATCATAGATATTTGATACTCACAGCTGGGTTCTAGGACACCCACCTTACACTTTTTTGAGTACTTTTTGTCTGATATCACACTGATCCCTGGCATCGCTAGGAACCACCACAATTTTATGTGGAAATTCAAACTTTCATTCAAATTCCACTTGCCACTCCGGCAAGCAAAAGACCCTTGCAACTAGCAAGGAGACAAAACTCCCAGTCAATAAGACTGGGAAACAGGTGAAAGTAATGCCAGCACAACCCCTTATGTGCCAGGCAGAGCTGTCACCTGTAGCAGGAGAACCTCGCTTTCGTGAGGGGGCGCAAATTCAGTCATCAGAAGACCCTTGCTTTTGCAAGGAGATGACTTCTCCTGCACTTCACCCAACTCAGTTGGGTACAAAGGCTTCATGTGATGCCTCCTAGTTGTGCAGGGAGCCAAATCCAAGCCAAACTTACGTGGCAAAACCTGCCACATCATCATTTATGCCTGGGCTCCTCCACCCAGGCCTTAGAGCATTGCTCCTCCCATTTTATGTGATGGGAAGGCATCAGAAGCAACCAAACGATTGCTCCTGCTCACACAGGGAGCTGTTTGGAGCTCCAAAAAATGTGGAAAAATCGTCCACATCTTCAGATTCGTCTCGCATCACCTGCTTGCAATATTGCAGCAAGCCGGTTCACTCCCAAGTCTATTTGACTGGGAATCACACAAAACCATCAAACGATCACTCCCACTGGCACAGGGAGCTGTTTTTGATTCCAAAAAATGTGGGAAAATCTTCCACATCTCCAGCATTGTCTCGCATTAACCACGAGATGTCCAGATTGCAATATAGCAGCAATCTGGTTTACTCCCCAGTCTATACGACTGGGAGTTGTCATGAACAACCAAATGACCATTCCTGCTTGCACAGGGAGCCGTTTGGAGTTCCAAAAAATGTGGAAAAATCGTCCCCATCTACAGAATCGTCTCACATCAGCCACGAAACATCCAGCTTGCGATATAGCAGCAAGCTGGCTCACTCCCCAGTCTATGTGACTGGTAGTTTGTCAGGGACGGCTCAAGGAAGGCAGAGGTAGCGGCATAATGCTCGGCAGGGCGGTGAGACCATATAGTGGATAGCCCTTACTCGGGCTTACATCCCTGTGTGGCTTCTTAGGCTGAAGCGGGAAATGTATTGTTATTAGGGTGGGAAGCCAGACTAAACTAGGGTACTTGCCTGAAGCGGGAAATGAGAAGAAGGTTACTTCTTCGGTCCTGCTTCAGCTTAGTTTATATACATGTGTGAATGGGTCACGTGGGGTTGCCATGTCACCCTCGGACGAAGCCAGGTTACTGCAGGTGGTTCTGCGGTCGATCCCGAGTGTTGGAGGGGAAGTACAAGTAGAAGTGCGCGGCGCATCCGGCGTTGCGGCACCCCTATGGGGTGCTCAGCATCAGACGCATCCGTGCTACAAGGGTAGGAAAGAAAGAGAGGTCGTCTGTATAAAGATAGAAAAAGAGAAGAAGGAAAGAAGAGAGAATGAGACAAAAGGAAAAGGAGGTGGCGGCGGCGGCAGCAGCATGCCCTGACATAGTTGTACAAATCGATCAAACAACAGCTCCCACCAGCACAGGGAGCCGTTAGTGATGGCAAAAAATGTGGAAAAAACTCAGTCTATGTGACTGGGAATTGTGCAAAACAATCAAACAACAACTCCTGCTCGCACAGGGAGCCATTTTTGATTGCAAAAAATGTAAGAAAAAATCTCCACATCATCATTACCATCTTGCAGCCATAGTGAGACGTCCAGCTTGCCGCCTAGGCATGAGCCGGTTCAAACCCCAGTCTACAAGACTGGGAATCATCCAAAACACTCATGGAATGACCCCCACTTGCACAGGGAGCCAGTCCTGAGCAAAAGAAATTTGGAAAAAATCTCCACATTGCGGTCATTGTCTCACAACTGCAGTGAGACTAGCGCTTCATCCAGGAATGAGCGCATCCACTCTAACATGGACAAAGAGTCCATGTCACTCAAATCAACACATAAACCCGCATCGATTTCGCCTCTATCCAAGGCACTTCTGGACTTTGTCCAGTTCCCACCTGAATGGAGGGTGGGGAGTACAGAACAGATAATCGCCAGACTAGAAGTCTGGGAATCGATAAGGAAGACCAAGGCACACAGTCAGTGCCTTGGGAACCCCAGATCTGGGGGACAACCATCGTTGCATGGACTTAACATGCGTGATATTTCTTATCCTTCTTTGGATCTGCAGGAGCAGAGGGGATTCTCCCAGAATATGGTGGAACGGCACCACATCAGGCCACAGGATGACCACCCGCATTTAGGGCCAGGTTCATCTGGTGGTGGGAGGTGGTCTTGCCAATTACCCTTTGGGAAGTCACCCATTGCCAAAGCAATGCCAACACCGGTTTTTCCTCTGGAAAAACCTCATGGTCTATCCATGAGGGACAGAGATCACACTCTCTGTAACCTACTCTTGGGGAAAAATCCCCGAAATTTTTCAACTTTTTCCCTTTCATCATCTGAAAGGGATACCACTATACCGTCTACTCACTATGGGGAAACCCATAGTGATCCACCTGTCCAGCCAACAGATAAACCACCCCCAAGGGAGGTTAAATTCATCATCTGACTTCCAGATGATGTGTCCTTACCCAATACTGCTTCCTAGATCAGGAAGCAGGTGGAGCGATGCCAGGTCTCACAAGGCCAATCGTTCCTCTGGCCATACCCTTATATGGCTAGACCACATTTTTTAAACCCAGACATCTGTCTAGGGGGGAGAACCCTTTACCTGAGGGCAAAGGATTTTTACTCATTATTTTATCTTATCACCTAGACACCAGTCTAGGGGGGAGAACCCCGCAAAATTTGCAGAGGTAACTAACATTCATTTATTCTAGCCTCCATTCTATTATTTAAACTTTCTTAACAATACACATAACATTTCACTCACTTACCAATACACTCCTTTTTTTACTTTCTACTTTCTCCATTTCATAAATTACCACATAAAATTGTCATGGAAAAGATTGTTTTTTCTTTTTTTTCTTTTCTCTCTTTTCCTGTACCCTTTCCCTCTTTCTCTTTGTGTGCGCTGACAAGCAACACAAGGGGGGAGAGTGTCAGGTCATGGTCCATGTATGTAGGGGGTCACGTGACCCAGGGAGGTCACTATCATCCTACCCACTGTGAATCATACATATTTGATACTCACAGCTGGGTTCTAGGACACCCACCTTACACATGCGTACTGGCAGGTCCAGAAAGGGACGGCAGTCCCTGGCCACTCAGACTGAAGTGGAGAATGTGAGAAGAAGGTTACTTCTTTGGTTCCCACTTCAGGTACATAAATGTACATGCAGCTTGAGTCACATGATGGGTGCCACATCATCCTTGGAGACAGCCGTGGCCATCCAGGTGTCCCTGTGGGGGATCCTGAGGGCGTCTGCTGCATGCGTGCATGCTGGGCACAGCGGGAAGCTGTCTGGGGTTTGTGGGCCAGATGGGTCAATAGTACATTGATACAAAGGAAAGTGGTCCATGTAGATAGAAGGAAAGAGGGAGGAGGGAGGAAGGAGAGGGATGGACAGTGGGGAGCGGGTGAGGTGTGGCCAGGTGGGTCCGGGTGGACCCGGGTCAGGCAGGTGTGCCCTGACATGCAGTGCCATTTGGCCCATAATGCTACATGATCTTCTATCATCTTTGATCCACTTCTACCAGTTACTAGTTAGTTGCCAGTTACCACCCCTTCACATGTACATAAGACCTTGCCCTAGAGTGGGCATGTCCCCCAGCTCTGTTATCAACTAGGTGTCTGGGGTCTTCCTTGTTGTGAGCATGCACAACCCTGACAATCCAGTGGTGATTGGAACAGACAGGAATAGAGATGGGACTCCAGAGAAGGGGTCTGGGAGTCAAGTCAATGTACAGATATGACAGTCAACACTGTCACAATCTGGCACTTTCCTAATTGGGTAATCAACATGGCCAATTTCACAGGTCCAACTTTTGTTATAGTAATACATGCAAGGTGAGTTTGAAAGAACAGGGGGCACTGTGAAAGCGCTTTTATAAGCTCGGCCTGAAATGTTGTGAGCACTCTCATGATGAGTGAAGTTCAGTATGTACCTCTGCTGATACGGTCCACTTTGTGCATCCATGCCAGAAACCCCAGCATATGACTGAGGCACAGTTGCTGGGTCCATCAAATGGTCAGGTTGCACAGTGACTCGTGAAAGATAAAGCGGCAAAAGGGCAAGTGCAGTGCTGAGACAAGCACAGCAGGGTCTGATCAAGCAGCTGGGCCGAGTCTGATCATTGCCCCATGATTAGTCTCATTAAATGCAAACATACAATTCATTGAACAAGAAATTGGTTCGATAGCATAAAAGGGAGCACAACAAACATTACATTTCAGCGAGTTGAGGAGCCAAATACTGATGATTTACAACCTGCGAAAGCAACATTATCAGAAGCAAAAGTGAGTGTCAGAATTTAGCATCCCAAACTGTCAGAGCAGGGAGAGATCTCTGGGAAGAATACATTCATGATGTAGCCAATTGAACAATCAAGATACACTCACGAAAAACAACTAAGAGCATTCGGCCTTCCCACTCTGACAATTTCTTCCCTGGATAGAAAAAATGGCAGCTTTTGTCTTCAAAGGAGTTGTCATCCAATTTGAGATCCTTTAAGATGCTTGGTTGTAACGCTTCTCTCGGCTACAGGGTGTTAGCAGTCAAGCCAGGTGGGAAATAGCTGTCGCACCTCATAAACTTGAATGCAATAATCATCAGTCCCCAGCGGGATTCTAGGCTTAATCAATCGGCGGAATTCCTGATGGAGAAACTTTACGGGATCTTCAGAAGTTGCCTCAACACGGCCCCCATGGACAAACTGATAGGAATTGGGTCGTCCGTCAAACAAGGCATACGGAATATGGAGCTCCCGTTTCGCAGCTATGAATTGATTCAATGCAGTTCACAAAGGCAAATCAGAGACTAAACGGACTGAATGCGAATATGAGGTTTGAGAGTCCTATCTTCCACAGTGGTGCTTCAGGGTCAAGAAGCAAAGTCGTAGTCTTTCGCAGCTGAATGGGTTCCAGCTTTCCCGCCTCTTGCAACTTAACGTAATCCTCATCCGGCATCTGCAAAACGGTCACGGAAAATGCATTAGAGTTTGAACGCTGCATACCTGATACAAAGAAAGCACCCGAAGAATTTCCCCGCTGCCCAAGCGAGGAGTGACAACGGAGCTGACATAGTCATAAAGCCCTTTCGGCGAATCCCATGGGTGTGCCGTCCATTCGTATCGGCCAAACGAGGATCCGAACTCCTCGAAAACCATGAAGTTAAATGTCAAGCTAGCGCCTATAATGATAGCTCCAGACTTCTATTCACCGGTGACCTGAGCAACTTACTGAAAACCACCATGAGGTCCTCACACTGCGTTGCCTGCTCTAATATTAATTTGACCTTGTCTGAGTCCAAGGGGTTTTGGGCAACATCTTCCAACATCCGTCGCGTCGGCCCCACCCCTGTCGGCATTGGTTCCAAACACTGCAAAGCTCGGGATGAAACACAAGCGAACCAGGGACCACACATTCACCTCACCTCATAAATTTCAAGGCCTGTTATAACTGACGAGGTGCACTGCTTAAACTTGGGATGCGAATAGATGAGACGGACAGCGGTTTGTTGGAGATTTTGTGCAATATCTCGAACACATCCCAGATATTTGAATGATTTGGGTGGATGCTCGTGAATCAAGTGGAAGATGGCCATAGTGGACGATGAGAGATAGTACTGGTGACTGGAGGAAAGAAAGGTGGTGGGATCTCAAGATCGGCTGTCGCCGATCGCTCAGTCCCAAAGGATCGATAACTCACTAGATCACTAGGATCCAATGGATTTGATTTGAGGAGAGTGGGACAGCAATCGTGCCTCAGAAACCATAAGGCACGCACTCAGGATGGCGATCCCACCACTCTAACGTTGTTATCCTTTCTTTCCACCCACTCCCTCTCTAACACCCGGCGTCACGTCTCCCATCCCATTCCTCGTCGTGAGACTCCAGAGGAACGCAATGGTCGTTGAAGCCAACGCCCACCTACGGGGAGCGTAGTATGAAGCTGACTACGGTGACCGTCACCGAGATTCTCGAGCTCCGCATACCACCACCCGACGCTATCGAGGCAAATCCCATTTTCGGGGCCATTAGTCCAACCCTGAAGGCTTCGCCCCATGTGGCATTGCTTTTTACACTAATCTACGGTACGTGGGTTGTCTTACGGAATGGTAATCTTACAGGTCTTGCATAATTATACTAATACCCCCGCCAATTCACCCGCACCCAGAGAATAAATGCTCGTTCGTTTTATACACAGGTTTCCTTCCTCATGGCCGCAGTATGCATGGTAGGTTGAGCAGCGAAGTAGGCTTTAAGCAAGAGCACGAGGTCGCTGGCACTAGAAACCGGTGGGGCATCCAAAAGTGACTACATGGCTATGTTAATGTTACAGGACCTCCATTATTATTATTCGTAAATATCAATTGCCAATTCAATGAGGAAGCGCGCGCTCAAGAAAGACATGAGTAATACAAGGCAGACAAAGAAATAGGATAAAAACAGGTACGTCACCACAGCGCCGCATTACCCTTAAGTTACTGTCGCACCCCGATGCCTCTCCCAAAGTGTAATTGTGCGGTCTGGTTCTCCACTTAGCGCCGAGCGGGTTACAGCTTCCAACAATCTGTTCCTACATCACGCAATATACTGGTGCCACGCTGTCATAAGTGCCCGTTGACCAGGCCCCTGTTTGGCGTTGGCATACAGCTCGGCATTGCAGGGGTGGCTGTTGTGCACGGATAATCCAATTAGCTCCGATTCCTCGAATAGCGAACAACGCGAGGGAATATACCTATGTTGGGAGGATTCTTCATTGGTGTTATGGCGCGGTGCATGAGTAGTTGGCCATCTGTGGTCGATGAGAACTGTTTAAAGAGGTGAATGTGAACCAACCTTTTTGGTAACGGGGGCTGAACCCTGAGGACACAAAGGCGCGCTTTCGGCTCGTGAATTGAGTGGGTGCTGATCTTGTCCCTTCGCGGTTTTGATCGATCATCGCCATCTGAGGTGTTACCTGTGCCGTGGTCTCGATGTCCAACGTCACGAAAACCGGTATGGCTCCAGAGCACTCAGGAGTGCTCTGTAGACGGGTTTCCATACTCCCAAACTCCCAAACTCCCACCGCTCTCAGAAAACCTAAACCGAACCCCAGAGTGTGATCTCTAACGAATACAAATGAAGTTCACTTAACCAACCTACCGTCTTAGATAGTATTTCGGCGTCTGAGTAGCTGCACCCATGCACTGTCTGCACTGAGGAAATTTTACGGGAGGGCCCGAAAGCACTAGAGACTAGAGGGGCACCCAACAATGACTCCGAGCCAATGCGAGGTTACAGGACCCCCACCGATTTTATTGTTATCATTAAAAATCAATTCGACAATTTTTTCAATTAGCATTTTGATTGACGCGGTGAACAAGCGCTTAAGTTATATACTTAAAAGTCAGGCTCCCTCAGAATCGTAGTACGACGAATCTGCGGCATTTGAGGAACAGTCCCAATCACTTGAATGGTGTGAACCCATTGTCGCGAGATTGGCTTGGCGTGCGCAGCGTGTCCTACCCTTGAACCAAGTATGACCAACCCCGCTGTGTTCATCCCTATGCATAACTCGTAAAAATTCTTCGACAATGGGCATTGCTTTCATCGTCAGGTCATGGTGGGTCATTCCTCGCATCCAAATCCCTCGGTCCTTCCCCACCTGCTGAAGGACCAATTCTCCAGCTTCCACCAAAGACCGGCCAATGCTTTCGAAGCGCGCTTGTAAATCTGCGATCTGGAGAGAGTTAGATGTCGGCGTTTATTTGATGGAGTTATTCATCTTAAACTCACTTCTTCCTCATCCGATCCTTCGTTGAGCCAAAGGTCTATGGGTTGCTCATTGTCAGGGAGGCGCCCAACCTCTGCATTGTCTATGCCTGTTCGGGTCTGGAAGGGGGTCCGGATGGTCGTTATAGGTCAGGTATACTAGACAAAATGAATATAACCTTCTTACTGATGTGACTCAGTGGATCGAGTTCTGCGGATGAGTGGGTGCGCTTCAGGTTCATGAATTGACTGAGCGCCAATCTTGTCGTTTCACGGTCTTGATCATCGCCGTCTGAGGTGTTCCCTGTGCCGTGGTCTTGGTTTCCAAGATGAGAATGCCGATATAAAGGCATAGTGCGCCTACGGTGAATTTCTTCCCAGAATGCCATAGGTGGCTTCTTAGAATTGTGCACCAAGTGCTTACAAAGATGAAAAGTATGTGTATCTTGTGTCCCACATCGGCAGGTCCAGCTGAGAACATCCGTGTGATAGTCACGACTGCTGAGCTGCTTTTTTGACAAATCATTCCATGCAGTCTTGAAGGCACGTTGCCAGCTGGTAAGAGCACGGCTCCGTCCAATTCGATAATCGGGTTCTAGCACATTAGATGAATAAATGGAGGAATTTATTGTCGAGTATGTGATAATGAATACTGTCTGGTCAAGAGGGGAGCGAGTTTTGAACCGAAGATATCCATGCTTGAGACGTTTCCAATGATTTTCGGTGATCATTGTTGTGCGCACACGTGAAAGACGAGTCCCACTGGATGAGCGTGCCCAGAGATCCCAACAAGAGTACCAAGAGTTCCACAAGTATGCCCAAACCTCGGCAAGGCCACGTTCACGGCAGAATGTATACATTTGATATACAGAGGCACGTTGGATTTCTTCCTTGGTTTGAAATGAGCCAGAAGTCATTGGGAAGAAGGGATGTCGGCACAGATGATGAATGAATAACCTGAGAATCTGACGGCGATGAGCCTCCGGACAAAACACATAGTTGGGGTCCATCATGCGCTTTTCCTAATAGGAGGGCTAAAGCGGGAGCTCAGTCTCCGTAAATGAAGAACTGAATTACTACGTTTAGTACTAACCTAAAGCGGGAGCTATAGTACAGAAGAGTACAGAGTAAGTAATGTAACAACTAACTAAAAGCAATGATACTAACCTCAGTCTCCGTAAATGAAGAACTGAGGAGAAAAGGAAAGTAGAGCGAAAACAGTATATACAATTATATACATTGTGTCACGAGGCAAATACGGATGTAAGAGGGATCATGTGGTGTTGGTTGGTAAGTCACGGGTCGTTGTTACTCCAACATTTCCCCTACATCCAACTGATATGAAGGGGCATCATCATGCTCACTTTCTTCAGCATCCCCATTAAACTCATTACTTTCGTCTTCCTCCCCTTCTCGATCAACACGTGCCATATTCTGGAGAACCGGGAGCGCCTTCTCAAACTCGTCCAACAAGAACCCATCCTCACTCTCTGACTCGACTCCTTGACCCTCAGCACACTTATCCGTTTCCAGGAGTGTTCAGTATTTGTATACAAGTTTGCACCGAAATAGTAAAACTCACTTCTCAACAGCTGCACATCTTGATTTCCTGGCACCACCACCATCCTTTTTATTTTGAGTGTTAGAGATGGTTTAGGAGGCACCTTGCACCCAATCAGTGAGTCTCCGAGGTGAATTCTGAGTATGGGAATAGTTTCTTGTGCAACTTTTATTTGATCTGCACTGTTATGGGAATGGACCGAGAATCTTATGGTCCGTGACTATAGACAATCAAACCTTAGCCCCTTCAACTTTATTTCTTTGTCAAACCCCATGCCAAGCTTTCCCACTGGGTTTTGGTGCTGGCTGGGGATTTGTTGAGTTTCAAGGGACTTCCTTTGACCATTATGATTTTATATTAGATAATTAGAAGTCATATGATGTATAAGGCAGATGCCGAAACTGTTCTCATTATCGAATACATAACCCAAAAACCTGTACCGCAATTGTAACATCCTCACCATTGTGCCACCACTGTAAACTCAACCTGTAACCTCAGAACCATGTCCACCTCCCTATTCCTCCTTTCCATGACAAAACCGCAGCGAGGAGGGCATTCCCACGCCCAACCTCCTGCTGCCCACTCCCATCAGTCCACTGGGTGGTTGAGTGGTTATTCCCATCCAACCAGAAGTTCCCTATCAGGAACTGTAGCTTGTCCCACCTCCTCAGGAGAAGGATACAGTCCAGGCAGCTCCAGGATGCCTGGCCACGCACCCGCGGGTCCCACTTCCCACGGTCACCCACTACCGTGCACTGGTCCACCAGCCCGCTTTCCTCAACAACTCCCGCTACCGGTACGCTCCCATGAGCGCCAAGTCACCGACAGCCACCAACTGGGTGACTCCCTTTGGGAGTCCCAGTATCCCTCACTACCGGTACGCTCCATTGAGCGCCAAGTCACCGCTAGCCAAACACTCCCAGCACACCTGCTACCGGCACGCTCCCAGGAGCGCCAAGTCCCCGTTAGCAGACAGCCAGGTGGCTCCCTCAAGGAGCCCACATCTTACTCGCTACCGGTACGCTCCCAGGAGTGCCAAGTTACCGTTGGCCGACACACAGGTGGTATTTCCGTACACTCATCCTATTCCGCTCTCCCTCCGATGGCTATGCAGCCACCTCCCTTAGTGAGCCGAACGGCTCAGGTTGGGTTCCCCGGAACCCATTCCTGTAACATGCATGCTCACGCTACAATAGTAAGTCCTCAACAATCTATCCATATACCGGCTAGAGAGTCTGATACTCATGTCAGGGTTCAGCACCCTGCCTTAGGGTGCCCCGGACTCCCCACCTACTTTACCCCCTTTTATTCTTTGACTGTTGCCTTGTTGTTGCCTTTGTGTGTTGTGTACATGCACGTGCACGGGATAGCGTGGGAACTTTCTGAGCGAGCAGCTTGCCCAGAATGTTCCCATGGGTCACAGCCACAGTTCTGGGCGAGCAACTCGCCCAGAACGTTCCCATGCTTACTGGGCACTGCCACCTGGATGTTCCCTCTGGGTCACACTACACAACTCTAGGAGCTGTATAGTTGTGGGCATGTGACCCATTCCTTTATATAGCAACCATGCGGGGAGATGAGACCTTTACCCTTCTTCTCATCTCATGCCCCGCATAGGCAAGTGTATATATTATCTTTCCTTTTACTATACATCTCATGCCCTGCATAGTGTGAGGACAGGTTAGATGGGGGTTGAGGTCAGGGAGCCTCCGAGTCTGAGGCCGGGCCCTGACAACTCACATCTATATTTGAGAGTCCATGCCTCTGTCCAATAGGCATGAACCATTGGTCAATAAACTCGAACTGACTCCGTGCTTGGACTATGGAATATGGGGCAGGTGCACGCTTTCGAATAGCAAGTCATTTCCTCAATGCATGAAGTACATGCCAATAACATAGCTGATAATCAGCATTGGGCCAAACTGAACGGAGGGCATTGATTTCTGAGAGGTCCTTGTCTGAAAGCGTGAAGTGTGGCCAAATATCACACTCTTCCCAAAAATACTTGAACCATTCGATTAGGACATCTCGCTTTGCATGTAGTGGTGGGTTCTTTCGCTTTGGATGGACAAATAGCCACCCTAGAGGTAACCCAGATCCACTCACTTCGGCCATTAGGACAAAGAGCTCCCAGTCCCCACCGGCACACTTCCCTGCCAGTAATGTGAATTTTATTGATGCCATTCATTCAAGTGATCTACTCACAACTTGAGTCAGTCAGAACCTCCCTAATGCGTGAGCCCCATTTCCAAATAATATGAGGGACTGCAAATGCAAGTGCTTCATAATTATCTTGGCCCTTGATCGGTATGATTGATGCTCGTGGCCACCCTGAGGCAACTTTCTCCTCTGCAGCACGCTGGAGTACTTTCTGTGCCGATGTGACTGGATCATCATCAAGATGCCACTTGTGCTGGTCAGCTAATTTCCATATAGCAAAAGCCGACTTTCTTGTGAACTGGATTGGATGGTAGTTTGCGAGGATCTTTGTCCATATCTGTATGTACAAATTAGTCCCTTGGCCAATAAAAACTAAACTGTTATTTGCACTAACATCTTCAAAAGTTCGGGAATCATCAGCCTCGATCATTTTTCGTACACTGGTTGGGACTTCTACCCACTCATATGGGATATGGTTTAGTTTGTGGACAATCCAGATACTGGCATAAGCATTTGCATCAATATCCTCGATACTAATAGTGAGCCACCCTTGGCAGGCAAAGGTGTCCATTCGTCAGGTGTCACGCTGTTTTTTGGGATCTTCATGCTTTTGGTGGATTTTCTGGGTGGATGCAAGTTGTGCACAGTGGAACTTATACTGGTACTGGTTCCCACTGAACCCTTGTCTGCCCTTATGAACATGATAACTAGCAATTGGTGAGTCATCTATTTAGCCTAGTGTTATAGCCCAGCTCACCACCACCGATATAAAGTTTTCTCAGATATTGTGCTGGCAAGATACTTTGCATACAAGCAAAAATAAGATTCTCTATCATTTGCACTTGGGTCCTCCACAAGCATTGGTGATGTGGGTTGTTCTGGGATGGGGGAAAAATCCTTTGGAGGCAGTAAGATGTCTCCCTGGATTATGGTTTCAGGTGGGCAGTCATGGCGGAAAACCTCAGCACCATCAGCTAGAGCAAGCGTGTTTAAGAATTGAGAGAGTGGGATGACCCCATTCAGGAACTTGGACACCCACTCTTGTTGCCGTCCTCTTTTCTTGTGGGAGGACTTGTGTGCATTGCAGTGGCGGCAATTTTTTTGTAGTTCAGCAGTATGTGGAATGTAGTTGAAATTGTCGATGGTTTTGGTTTCCTTGCATATACCGCAAGTTTTCACCTCTTGCACCATGGACATGGGAGGAGGTTGTGAAAAGGAGTTAAAGTTTAGTTCTCCAGACTTAGTTACATTTTTGGAATATTAGTGATGATATTATAAACAAATAAACGTGTCAGGAGGTCCTCTGAAAAATTCCATCACATGTGCATGCTAGTTGCCGGGAGTCAATTTTGGGTGCCCCTCTTGGTCAGAGTCCCAAAAGCTCTTGGGTGCCCATGACTGGTTTTTCAATTGGAATAGTAAATGGCTGCACTTCTTCAGTGACTTTATCAAATGTATTACCGGCATCAACTTCGGATGCTCCATCATCACCGTTGCCGTTGCCAACATCACCAAAGTCGTTCTCATTCACTTTTGCTCATTTTCTTTTTTCTATCTGCTTTTCTTACACATCAATCTTAGCACTTGTTATCGCCATTGTTCTCGCATCATGATATAATTATAGATCCCACATCCATAGCTTCTAATGCATTCACAATTCTTCCAATGACATGGTGATAGTCATGGTTACATCAGCAAACCTCCCATGTCGATTGCCGCGCTATATATCACTTCTATTGCACAATCAATTCTAGAGGGTACCCTGATATATAGATGTCATATCAACTCTATTTCAATGCTGATAGTAATGGTTGTGGTGCTATCACAATCAGCTCAAGTGGACACAGATGACATTTTGGTTTCACGTAGTAAATAAATCAACACAAAAGTGAGAAACAAGTTAAAGGCCAAATTTACCAAGTTTTGTGCATGTCATAGTTTACCTTCCCACTAATTGGACACCACCTCTCCATGTGTGCCGTCAATCTGTAGCATAGCCCTGATGCTAGAATAGATACGTGTCAGCTCAGCATAGTAACTTCATCTGTTTAGTCTCACCTTAAGTCCCTCTTTACAACGCAAGTGTAGCCACTCAGCACTATGTCCATAAGGCTAGCCTAATCAACATGAAAAGATGTCAGGCACAGGATTACCGTTGGAGCCACTGCAATAGCGCTGCCAGGATGAGGATATGGGTTTGTCCGGATTTTGGGGTGGAGCCATACACATGTTGGGAGGGCATTCAACTTGGTATCTGAAGGAGAGATTGGAAGGCAGATGCTGCACTCACTAATATGGTGCTGCTCCCATGCCTGCTCAATGTCTTGAAGTCATTTTCTCACTTGCCAAAACTTCAAGTTCAAAGTTTGAAAAAAGGGATGAACGGACTTAAGCCAAATTTGATTCCAGGAAATTCTGTTCGGTACAATAAAATCTGCTTTTGATGCAAAGTCCATGGCTCAATATATTCATTGTAATGAAGGAGTTTCCGTGGGAAGTAGAGGTACGTAATTGTACACTGGGTAGCGGTGATAAAACTGATTGAGGCTCGACCAACACATAGATTGTGGGGATGGAGCAAATTGCAGAGATAGAATTGCTGCCTATCACTTCTATTGACCTTCAAGGTTTGCTGATGTATTGCCATTGGCATCTTTGTTTTCATCGATACATCAGCTTGGCATGTGTCTGCCATTGAAATGGGGCTTCTATGTCACGGCCATGCATTCTGGCCCATTCCCGGCCTGTCCCGATGCCACCCGAGCCTGTCCCCGCTATGCAAGTGTGAGCGCGAGCCCCAACCTCAGCCCTATCCTCCCTGAGGACTCCCTGCTCAGTTCCCTGCTTGCCCCTAGGCTTCCCTACACTTGGCCAACTCCCCCGCTGCTGCACCAACCTCCCCACCCTGAGTCTGCCTCCAGCATCGTGCCCAGCACGACTCCCCTACCCCGCTCACTTGGCCCCTACAGGGCCGCTATCATCCCCATGCCCGACTCCGGCCCAACTCCAAGTCCAGCGCCGCTATGATACCATCACCACTATCGCGGCCCTACACTCTTTCCTGTTATTGTTTGTTTTGACCCTCGGTCATTGCTGGCTGCTATGTGGCCAACCCCACTCCTTATTCTTGTTTGCTTCCAGACCCTTTGGCCTCTGGCCTGGGTCTGCTTCCATTCATTTCTTCCTCCTATATATATCCTGTATGATACTTTATTGTACCTTAGCTCTAATATCGATGTGACCACAACCCCTAAGTCCTGACCCCAACAAGGCAACCCCAGTAAGTCCGAAATGAGGGCCAAGAGACAACTAGGGGGCACAGCGCTCCTTTAGAGTTGCTGAGGCCAAATGCCCTACCCTCGGGCCTTGTCTGAGGCATCGTGGCCATCGCGGCCTATAGCAGCCCGCAATGGTGACCCTCAGTGCCGACCCTGGATCAGTGTCTAACATTCTAATGGAATAACCGCTTGCTCTAGTGACAATAGCTGTAAGGAAATATACAATAAGTTACAAGATTGAAAGAAAGTAACTAACCTCAGTCTCAAGCAATATGCACAAGAACTGAGGGAAAAGGAAACTAATTCAAAAGATTGAATATAGTTTGTGGCTGTTGTGGATAAGTCCGAAGTGACCAAAATAAGTAAGAAGAAAAGGTGTGGCTGTATGAAAACTCATCCGGCCTCCCATAGCACATGGTTCCTCCAACAGCTTCCAACAATGCAGGGTGCTGGAAGAGGTGTGCAGGTGCCACCTTGCTTCTCCAGAAGCCTCAGTTTGCTATGCAGGTGTCTGTTTGCTCTGAGTCAGTACTCAAAGAGGAGTGCTGTATACATCATCAGTCCCCAGCAGGATTCTAGGCTTAATCAATTGGCGGAATTCCTGATGGAGAAACTTTATGGGATCTTCGGAAGTTGCCTCAACACGGCCCCCATGGACAAACTGATAGGAATTGGGTCATCCATCAAACAAGGCATATGGAATATGGAGCTCCCATTTCACAGCTATGAATTGATTCAATGCAGTTCACAAAGGCAAATCAGAGACTAAACGGACTGAATGCGAATATGAGGTTCGAGAGTCCTATCTTCCACAGTGGTGCTTCAAGGTCAAGAAGCAAAGTCATAGTCTTTTGTAGCTGAATGGGTTCCAGCTTTCCGGCCTTTTGCAACTGAAAGTAGTCCTCATTCGGCATCTGCAAAATGGTCACAAAAAATCCATCAGAGTTTGAACGGCTACATACCTGGTACAAAGAAAGCACCCGAAGATTCTCCTCACTGCCCAAGTGAGGAATGACAAAGGAGCTGACATAGTCATAAAGCCCTTTCAGTGAATCCCATGGGTGTGCCATCCATTCGGGTTGGCCAAAGGAGGATCCGGACTCCTCGAAAACCATGAAGTTAAAGTCAAGCTGGTGCCTATAATGATAGCTCCAGACTTCTGTTCACTGGCAACGTCAGCAACTTACTGAAAACCACCATGAGCTCACATTGCGTTGCCTGCTCTAATATTAACTCGACCTTGTCTGAGTCCAAGTGGTTTTTGGCAACATCTTCCAACTCCATTGTGTCGGCCCCACCCCTGTCAGCATTGGTTCCAAACACTGCAAAGCTTGAGATGAATCACAGGCGAACCAGGAACCACACGTTCACCTCACCTCATAAATTTCAGGCCCTATTATATCTAACGAGGTGCACTGTCAAAACATGGGATGCGATTTGATGAGGTGGATAGCGGTTTGTTGGGGATATTGTGCAATAATGTCATCTCGAACTGATCCCAGATGTTTGAATGAATTGGGTGGATGCTCGTGAATCAAGTGGAAGGTGGTCATAGTGGATGATCAAAGGTAGTGCTGGTGATGGAGGAAAAAAAGGTTGTTTATGCCGCATTGTATTTGGTGATTGAATTCAAACATATTTGATATACATATATATGTATTCAGGAATCGCTTGGATGGGACTACAGGTGCCAGAACAGCAATGATTTGCCTCCAATTTTGCCACCCCCATGCTTGCCCTGCCAGACCCTGAACACCGAAACCAACTGACTATCATTCCAATAAGCAAATGAGACCCAGAGCATTGACTCAACTGGTTTTGAGAAGACCAACATGTGTATTTATTTGTTTGCCATCTCCATATCTGTTTAGTTTATTTAATGCCATGGTGTTGTCATTTGGTGCCCAGACTGTACCCAGTCAGAGGAGCGCATGGGGTGACACACAATTATTTACTTCATATGTAATGATGCTGTCAGGTGTGCAACCACAAAGTGTTTGGCAACAACAATGTCGCCCCCCTGCTTCCTACAGTCATTGCATCTGACTGTGCACCCCCATTGCTTACATGTTCTTTCTGTTTGTACCATCAGCTCTGGGCATGCATGCTGCCACTCACCCTCGCAATTACCCAACTGCTGTCACCATCCATGATGCTATAACCCGACCGCCCACCCATGGCGTTGTTTGAGGACTATGCTTGTGGTTCCACATTGCACTCATGTGTGGCAGCATGATGTGACACAGCCCACTCCTGAGCTGACATGACCAGCAATGTGGTTAGCAATGCCACCACCTCTGCCTGTGCTATCCTGCCTATGCCTGTGCCACTAGAAACTGGCACTCAAAAGTGACTCCATGGCTGTGCAAATGTTACCGGACCCCCATATTTTTTTTTTCTTTTATATTATTATTATTTACTCATAAAATAGAAGTGATCAAGTGGGTGCTCAATGATGAGTTGCAATATGAATTGTAGGGTATCAAAAAAGGGATAACTGGAGTGCCTGTTCTTGAGGTGTGACTCAACAACACACTAGGTAACATGTGCAATAGTAATCCATTAGCAACATTCCTGTGAGATTGCCACACAGGCAAGAATGGGCACTTGCGATCATGATTGGGGCTGGGGAGCATGGGCATCATAATGCTGCTTTGAAGTCCAGGAAGGAATAACTGGTGATTGATGAACTTTTGAGCTTGCCATGATGTGGAACACAGAATCAAGTCATTCATGGTCTTGTCTGTGTTGGAATCATCATGGAAGTTGATACTCTCAACATGAACAGAGAGGGTTTGGAGGTAGTTGCCCTTGGATGTCTGAATTTTGAGAGATGAGGAGGATTGTTCTCAGAAAGGCCATCGAGCTCGGTGATGCTGTAACAATGCTGCATGGGTAATGCAGTGGTGTATGCATTATGTTGAAGGAGTGACACTTACCAGTGAAAGTCTAAGGGATAATGATGGTCCAACGGATCGACTGGATGAGGCTAGCAACAACGGAGAGGAAGAAAGGAGGATGTTGGTGTCAATAACAAGTATGATAAACCCTGGCATGACCTTGAGAGCCTTGGCTAGCCAGTGGCTTGCTATGATGTGTCTGCATGACTGGTAGAGTGTTTAAGGGGGCTTTCTGAACTTATAAACTAAGGACTTTCGCCTGTTATCAGGTTCGTTACCATACACCGGATGATGATGGTATGCTTGGCAATCCCTGTCATACTCACGATTGCCATTTTATGAAAATTTCTGGGCAATGATGGTGCTTGTCGAATGAGGAGCTCAGCAGGACAGTTGAATGGAGAGGGGAAGGGAAAAGGGAGTAAATGATATATCATGTAACAGCAGTAAGTAACTAAGACAATAAAAAGAAATCAGATATAAGCAATGAACAGGAGGGGTGGGGATAAGCGCTACATGCGTAATGAAAGACAAAGGTATAAAATCTCGTTATTCTTTGTATTTTGACTTCACCTACATAAGTTTTCAGAATGTGATAGCTTGTTGGTGATACCTAATTATCAGATTCACAGTATGATGAATCTGCCACATTTGATGAGCCATCCCAATCACTTGAGTGATGTGAGCCTAATGTTGCAAGACTGGCTTGGCATGTGTGGCATGTCCTACCTTTTAGCCAAGTATGTCCAAGCCTGCTATGTTCATCCCAATGCATTACTCTCAGAAAATCTTCAATGACCGCCATTGCCTTGGTCATAAGATCATGCCGGGTCATCCCTTGCATCCAAATTCCCTGATCCTTTCCTGCTTGCTGGAGAACCATCTCCCCAGCCTCAACCAGAGATTTGCCAATGCTTTGGAAGTGAGCCTGTAGATCTGTAATCTCAAATAAATTCAACATTGATATTACTATAACATCAATAGAGCTATGCTTGTTTAGACTTACTTCTTCTTTATCCGAGCCTTCATTCAGCCAAAGGTCCACTGGCGTTTCATTGTCAAGAATGTCCATGTCATCTGTGCATGTTTTGGCCTAGCAATGAAGTTACATTGTTATCTCGTGTCAAGAGTGAATATGATACAAACCCTCTTGCTGACAGGATCCGCCAAGGGACTAAGGTCCGGGCTTGAGCATATGCATTTTTGTCTTGTGAACTGACTGAGAGCCAGTCTTGTCCCTTCATGGTCTTGATCATCACCATCTGAGGTGTTACCAGTGCTGTGGTCTCGATTTCCAAGGTGAGAATACTGATATATGTAAAGGCATGATGCGCCTATGGTGGATTTCCTCCCAGAATGTCATGGGGGGCTTCTTAGAACAGTGGACCAAGTGTTTACAGAGATGGAAGGTATGTGTGGCTTGAGTTCCACACCAACTTGTCCAATTGGGGATGTCCATGTGGTAGTGGTGACTGCTAGGCTGCCTTTTTGAGAGATCATTCCATGCAGTCTTGAAGGTGCATTGCCAGCAGGTCAGAGTGTGACCTCGTCCAATGCGATAATCTGGCTCTAGCATATTGGAGGTATGAATGTAGGAGTTTATGGTGGAGTATGTAATAATGAATACAGTCTGATCAAGAGGGGAGCAGGTTTTGAAATGAAGATATCCATGTTTAAGCCGCTTCCAATGATAATCATTGTTGTTCATATGCATGACAGGTGAGTACTGCTAGATGAGCGAGCCCAAAGGTCCCAGCAAGAATACCAAGAATTCCATAGGTAGGCCCACACCTCCATGAGGCCGCGCTCATGGCAGAATGTATACATTTGATATACAGAGGTGTGATGGATTTCTTCTTTAGTTTGGGATGAGCCAGAGGGTGTCAGGAAGAAGGGATGTTGGCACGGGTGGTGGATGAATAACTTGAGAATCTGATGGCAATGTACCTCCAGACAGAACACATAGTCAGTGTCTGTCACAAGCTTCTCTCCTGTGTCAAACTCATACAATGGGCCATCATCATGCTCACTTTCTTTGTCGCTCTCTTCTAACCCATTGCTTTCATCGACTTCCCAGTTTTCTTGATCCACATCATGCATCCTATTCTGAAGAACTCAAAGTGCCTTTTCGAATTCATCCAATAAAAATCCATCCTCACTCTCGGACTCCTCACCCCCCTCCAGCCTAGTCAGCCATCTAATGATGGCCTATAGAGGGGGGCCATTTAGCCTTCAAATGGGCCTAAAAGGGGATATTTACTAGTGGATGTCCTGGGATGATTCTATAATTCAATCAAATGCTTCTGTAATCTAACTAATAAATAATCCCTGAGGGTCATCTACAAGATCTGATTGGCTCAGTTTACCCCAAAGCCAGGTTTCAAACCATTTTGATTGGCTGCTCTATCTTACCTAATCCTGCTGAGGGTTCTAACTTGCTTGCATCTCAGTTTCCTCCTTCTCTCCTCAAGCCTTTTATATGCCCCAGTGTATCTTACATCATCCTATCACCCTGGCAGCATCATTGATGCCATTACTCCATTGACAACTTCATCTCAACTTTGACTGGTGATGTTCAGTGCTTCACTGGTTGACTGGTGAATTGGCTCCCTGGTGCATTGTAGTCATATTTCACCTCATTTGCTGGCTTTATCATGGTCTTAGACAGGTTTCTGTCATAATGACATTGCTCCGGAATCAGTACTCCAGATCGGACATGATGTGGCTTGCATACCACACATGGCTGACACACTTCTGCAGGCATCTCAGCCCCAGTCTTCACCTGCCAATCATTTCCACATTTGAATAGGCACTTTCATTCACACCACATTGGTGGCATTCTCGCCCTGCAACCACAACAGCCTCATCTTGAGCACTGCAGACTTCCTCTTGACATTGCTCTGATGTCATGTTGAAAGTCAACAGCTACAGGAAATCCAGTGACAGCATGAGAAATCCCACACTCACCTAAAACCCAGCCACTTTCAGAGTGCCTTCACTCACCTCACATTGGTGGCGTCTACCACTTTGGCAAGTGGCACACCCCCTCACTGTCATTTTAACCCAGGTGACAACTAACCACTTTCTGGCTATATCTGACAAACACCCTCCGATGTCATCAATGACAGAGCTTTAATTCCGTCTCTTTATGTATAAGTACCAACTCATTAGTTTACATGCTGTGTCACCCCTTTGTCTGACTCTTTGCTTTCACCAATGCTGCCTGACTTCTCACTGGGCTTTGACTTCATGCTCTCATTGGTTGATTTCACGACTTTCGGATTCTCCGGCAACTTTCACATTGTCTCCATTCACCTTGCTCAGGCAGTATATATGTACACAAGAATCACTCATCTTCAGTGCTGCGGATTTGACTTGTGAGCAAGAGACTGCACAGCAATGTCCATTGGACATGCAGATGGCCTTAAACCCTGATGTGCACCTCAACGATGACTGGGATGGAGCAAAAGGGAGATGGCAGTGCCTGTTCCCAGTGCATATCTGAATTCATTTCCATGTTTTAAGATACAATCTCACTCCGAGGGAATTTCATCACCCTTGCCTTTGCCCATATCCAATTGGGAACAAAGAAACAATGAAAGAAATATGAATGAATGGGGAATATATGATAGCAGATCTGAAATGGGAATTGTGAAAGTTAACTCCGCAACACTTCGCCACAGAGCCCGCCTATCCTCCTGTCAGCAACCTCCTCGTCTCCAGCTTTTCAACGAACCCTTATTTGTCCCAATTGGTGCCATAGTTCTTGAGATGTGGCCATTGACAGGTGCTGTCAAGACCATGTGAGACTCTACTCTGTGCTGAACCATCCAAGTATGGGGTTGCCATTCTGGGAAATGCTCCATGGGTGAAGAAGGAAGGTAGAGCATCACTAATGGGTAGAAAAATGGCTGGGTTGTATGTGTGGTTATGGAGGTCTGGAGAGGGGGTGAAATTGGCAGCATGGTTGGGTGTGGGAATTTGGTTTGGGGCTGTCGGGAATGATGGAAAAAATATAGAAAAATAAGGAATGGGTGTATGGTGTGTTGGATAGTGATAGAATGATTATTGGAAGTGTCAGTGGGTATGTAGCGTCTGTTGGTGGGCAAATTCCACAGAATCCGACTTTTTGCGGTGCATGGAGTTGTCCCCACAACAATGGACAAACTGAACAGATGAACCAGACACTTGAGCAGTACCTGCACATCTATAGTAACTATTAGCAGGATAATTGGTCTGAACTCCTACCTCTTGCGGAGTTCACATACAATAACGCTCCAAATGCCACCACAGGTGTCTCTCCATTCTCCACCAATATGGGCTACCATCTGAACATCACTGTTCATCTGGAGCAAGACTTGACATCAGTATGTGCCCAAGAGTACTTGGTGGATCTTGACTCCCTCCATCACTTCCTTCATGAAGAAATGCACCACGCACAGATCTGTTACCAGGGCCCAGCAGACTCGGGCAGGAGCCCTGCCCCAGCTTTCAAGGTAGGAACTTTGGTCTATGTGAAGACCAAGTACTTCTGCTCTACCTGACCTTCCAAGAAGCTCTCTGAGAAAAATCTTGGCCCTTTCGAGATCATTGCCCACATTGGAACCCACTCCCTCACTCTCCACCTCCCAGAAAACATGCAAGCCATCCACCTGGTATTCCATGTCTTGCAGATCAAACCCTCTGTCCCAAACGTCATCCTGAACCATCACCAACCTGTCAAGGATCGGCCCCTGACCCCGCTGTCAGGGCACCCAACCACACCCCAGAACCACCTTCCCAAACTTCCCCCACTCCCCAGACCTCCCCATCCCTACATACCTCTCACAACTTCAGCCCGCATGTGAGCCCACGGGAAAAATCACGTGGGTTAAGGCGAGCAACTCGCCTTAACCCATGTGACACCTTTTCTGAGTCGCGGGAACATGCTCGGCTTCTACCTGGAGTCACGTTATGAACTGTACAGTACACTTCCTTTTTATAGTAGCCAAGCGGGGAATAGGGAAACTTACCCTTCTTCTCAACTCAATCCCCGCTTAGGCAAGTTGTAGTTACCCTCTGTAATACATGACAACTCAATCCCCGCTTAGTCCCTTCAGTGAGTTTGAGGAGCTGAGGACAGGGTCTAGCGCCCAACCACCCGGAACACCGCACACACCTAGGACTGAGGTTGGGCTGTCCCTGATCGAGGACCGAGCCCTGACACAACCACCCCCACCTCCAATAGAAATTGAAGGTGAAATGGAGTTCAAGATTGAGGAGATCCTTGACTCCAAGATCAACCGATGTAGATGCAACAAGTTGCTCTACTTGATCAAGTGGTTAGGTTATGAAGGGACCAACGAGGAGATGCAATGGCTCCTTGCTGGTGAACTCAATCACGCCTCTGACTTCATTGAGGCATTCCACTCTTGGTACCCAGACAAGCCTGGACCTGAAGCTCCTTAGGAATCCTGACCCCTCTCCCATTTCTCCTTTCTCTCCACTCCTCATTTCCATTTTAATTTTTTCCTGTAAGTACAGCTCCCCTCCCCTTACTAATTCTGGGCCTTCAAGGGTTCAGGCCTAAGAAGGGGATACTGTCATATCCATCCACAGCCATCACCCTCCACCACCTCTGATCCTTCTGGATTACCTCTGCTCCTTTGTCACTAACCTTGGAGCCTCTGTATTCCACAATCCCCTCCGACACCCCCAATGGTCATCACCCCCTCAATTCAATATATTACCTACACCTCCCTAAGTACAGAGCCCTGAAGGCCTCCAGACAGCTCTAATGTCTGCTAGTGCACCCCCACCTCTGCTGGGAAATTTAGTTGCCTGCCCTGCAAGTCTACCTTTGGGCCCATCCCTCCTTTCTGTTTCTGGGTAATAGCCTGTCACTCCACTAACCCTGTAACCTGACTCATCAGTATATTCAGTCAGCTAACCTGTAACTCCATTGAGTAACATTTGAACGTGTAATATCTCCCATGGGCTCCATGGATTTCATGGGCATGAACACCCATGGAAGCCCATGTACAACATTATCTTCAAATTTCCATGGAATTCCATGGGTATCATGAATGCCCATGGATACCCATGAATACCCATGGGAGCTCACACAAGTGTTATTAGAAGGGTCCATGAATGTCAATGAATGTTCATGGATGGGAGGTCCACAGAAGTCCATGACAGTGCATGAACAACAACATACTTGTCAGGACTCACTCAGGGGCAGCCTGACCTCAGAGTTGGGTATGTGCAGTGTTCTGGGCAGTGGGTGTTGGAGTGACAGCAACTGATTGGGCCACGTGATTCTGGACTGGCAGACATCCGGAACATGCTGTTGCATTCTTTTCTTTTTTCCTCAGTTCAAAATAGTTGGGAACTGAGGTCTGTCCTTTCCCTTCACTCTTTCTTATCATTTAATTCACTGTATATCTACCTAGTCTGACCTATCTTTTAGACTTCACCCAGTGGCTATTATGTTAGTGGGGAGTGAGTTGAGAAGAAGGGTGAGTTTCCCTATTCCTGCTAAGCTACTCTAAAAGGAGGTGGACTGTGCCAGTTTATAGCCTGACTGCAGGCAGAAGCCAGGTGCATTCCCACAGGTCCATATGTGGGCTCCTGGCTGTAAATACACATGGAAAAATAGGGAAAAATGGGGAGAGACTGGGGGGGGGGGTTTCAGGGTTGTATTGTCAGGTGAGGTACCCTGACAATACTATAGTAAGTGAAAATATCAGTTGAAATTGCAGGACTCCATAAAATATAGAGACCCATGGGGACCCAACCAAAAGCCTTTATATGTGTCAGGGCACACCCGCCTGACCCGGCCCCACCCGGCCCCACTTCACCCGGTACCCCACCACCCAGTCTTCCCATACCTCCTCCCCCTTCTTCTTTCTTTCTTTCTCCATTCCACTCTCTCTTTACTTATTTCACCTTCTCTTTATTTTCTCTTTATTCTACATGGACGACCTTTCCTTGTATCAATGTACCATTGACCCACCCGCAGCACGCTCACGACACGCCCAGCCCGGGCACCTCGGGCGACCCCTGCTATGTCCAGCTTGCACGTTCACAGTGGATGCCCTCGGGATCCCCCACGGGGACACCTGGGTGACTACGGCTGTATGCGAGGATGATGTGGCACCCATCATGTGACCTAAGCCGCATGTATATAAACATACCTGAAGTGGGAACCGAAGAAGTAGCCTTCTTCTCACCCTTTTCCACTTCAGGTAAGTAACATAGTATTCCCTTTTAATAATAATAACACCCCTTTCCACTTCAGTCTAAGTGGCCAGGGACTGCCTCCTGAGCCGGGCCCACCAGTATGCACGCCCACTCCACACCCTGCAAGGCTTCTAGTGTCGGGCATCTCACCTGGGCCTCCTCTACCCCGGACGCGTCCCTGACAATATGTCTTCCCAGGAGTCTGTATAAATGTTATAACTATGGGGCTGAATTGATCCATTTCCATAGGTTTTGGGTGCAGGATAGGGATGATTCTACAGATAATGTGGCAGAGGTTGTGAGAGCTTGGTTTACAATAAGATGGTTGGGTCAGGTTTTGTGTGATGATAGTTTGTTGGATAATAACTATTTACATGGCATGGGATACTGTACTCCACAGAGCCCATAAGAGGCTAAAAATGGGAAAATCCCATTTCTATAATTATTAGAGACTGGATGCGAGACAATGGATACATTTCCATGGCAGAGGGCTTTGGCCTCAGTGACTCAGACCAGGAGCGCTGTGCCAAGTTACATGTCCGTGCCCTAATTTACTTACTGGCAGTGAGAACTAAAAGGGGGATTAACTTTAGTCGATTTTATCACTAGGGTGCAACCTATCTACAAGTTATGTATATATAGTTACAGCGAGGGCGGGCCCATGAATGGCAGGACCAAGTGGAACGGAGTTAATGGAGTTAAATGTTAGCCAACTGAATATTACCAACGAGTCAGGTTACGGGGTTAGCGGAATAGTGGGCTATAACCCAGAGACGGAGAGGAGGGATAGGCCCAAAGGTAGACTTGCAGGGCAAGCAAGTGAATTGCCCAGCAGGTGCAGGAGTGCACTAGCGGATGAGGGAGGCATATATTGAATTGAGGGGGTGGTGACCATTGGGGGGGTCGGAGGTAGTTGTGGAATCCGGAGGCTCTGAGGCTAGTGACGAAGGAGTGGGGGTGATCTGGAAGGACTGGTGGTGGGAAGCGATGGCCATGGATGGATATGACAATAATAATAAATATGAACTTTGATTTTTGTGCCACAACTGTGAGTGCCCACCAAATATGTTAGTGTGCTTGTTTAAGCACTGGTGTAGCCTCACACTCCCAGTCCATCAGTACATACCATAATGAGGCTACATATATATATTATTAATGAGGGGATTAAGGTTAAGGGTGGGGAATACAATCCTTACAAGTGCATCATACATGTGAGGAGCCCAGGGAAAAACATGCATACATCTCCATCACTTTGATCACAGCAAAATTTATGTAAATAGTATTGGCGAATATAGACATGTCAGTGCTGCCTGTCTTTAGTAACTTTCATCATTAATTATGGCAATATTTGCTTCACACTTGATTGAACAATCGAGATCCCCCCCTCTGCTCTGCCCATCTGCACATCACTGTGGCAGCATTGAGTGTCAAATCCTTGTAACAGAGCAAAATACCAAGCACATAGAAGCTGTTATGGCCTCTGGGAGTTCATGAGCATCCATGGGTGTTGTCATATCCATACAATACCCAATCCTGATCCGACTTCTGGACCTTCCTCTCCACCACCTCCAGAGTCCTACCTTACCCCTGTCCGCTCTGACACCCACCTTCAGACATGATGCCACTCCTTACCTCCTCACCTCCCACTCCTCTCCTCACCTCCTCTCACTCCTCTCACCCCTCACCTTCTGTCCCTCTCTTACCCTACCTCCATCTGCTCTGATACCCACCTTCAGATGTGACCCCACTCCTCTCATCATTCCTCTCATCACTCTCCTCCCTCCTCCCCTCTTCTGCCAACCTCTGCCAAAGTTACGACCTTCCACCACAGTCCCATATCCCATACTTGGACACTGCTTGTACCTTCACTCCAAGATCCTGTCATGGTTCCGACCTCGGACCTTGACTCCACCTCAGGTCCATTGCATTGGTGACCTCATAAACACCATTGCCAATATTCCTTGGACTTTCAACCCTGCCTCCACAACCTCCATAAGCTCCACAACCTCCATAAGCTCCACAACCTCCAAGCTTCACGGACCATACTCAGCACTTTCACTGCTGCAAGAGGGCTTGTGGCTCTCGATGCCAACTAAGCTCATGGGGGACAACTCTCCCTAAACTCCTACTTTCTCTCTTGACTTCACTTATGTAACTCGATCCTTAACTCCATGGTGGGTTCTCCAGGATTCCGCAAGGTCTGGGCTCAGTGTCCACTACTCACTTGTTGTGAGCTAGATCACTGCCCTTATTCCTACTGTTGGAATTCCACTCACTCACACCCACTCTAGTGCATCCTAGCACCTTAGAGAATTTGGGGGAGGGGAGGACTTCTTTTCCAGAATCCCACTAAATATTGACCTGTTTGACCACCTTCATCCCCGTGAGAACCAATTCAATTGTGGGGTATGCATGTCCCCAAAATGGGCTCTTGGGCAAAGCCAGGCCAGCCATTTCATTCACAAACTGTGAACATCGTTGTAGGTAAGGCATGTTGATTGACGTCCTCAACATCAGGATAACCATACGTTACACTACAGACCCGTCCTCTATTCCTTGGGTGTTCTACTTCCTATTTATTGCCATAAGTGGCATATTTGGTAAGCTCAAAATTCATTGTTGGCATCATTCCCAGCCCTGCACCTAACAGAACGCACTATGTTCGCCTCCAATCTCGTTATAGATATCATTGAAAAGGACCACTCTTTGTATTTAACTGAAATCCACTGGAGGTGTCAGAGACTGGATTTGAGACGAAGGAATGTCTCCATAGTGGAGGGCTTCGGCCTCAGCGACTTCTGCCAAGAGCGCTGTGCCTAGTGACACGTCCGTGCCCTAACTTACTGACTGGCAATCAGAACCTAAGGGGGTAACTCTAGTTGATTTTATTACTGGAGTGTAACCTATGTACAAGCGGGATATATATATGGTTACAGCGAAGACGGGTCCGCAATTGGCAGAGCCGAACGGAGCGGAGCTAACAGGGATAAACATTAGCCGACTGAATATTACCGACGAGTCAGGTTGCGGGGTTAGCGGAAAGGCAGGCAATAACCCAGAAATGGAAAGGAGGGATAAGCCTGAAGGTGGGCTCCGCAGGGCAGGCGATTGTATCGCCCAGCGGAGGCAGGGGTGCGCTAGCGGATGTCGGAGCTGTCTGGAAGTCTTCAGGGCTCTGTACTTAGGGAGGCATAGGTAATAAGTTGAAATGAGGGGGTGGTGACCATCGAGGGGTGCCGAGAGGATTGCGGAATACGGGAGCTCCAAGGTTAGTGAAGGAGGAGCGGAGTTAGACCAGAGGGAACGGAGGGACCGGAAGTTGATGGCTGGGGATGGATATGACAGGAGGCGCTTAGCACATTGCTAGTGCACCACGGTTAACGACAGGGATCCCCCAATCAACCCAGCCCTCTGAGTACACCGTCTACATGGAGTAACGGTTTCTCCAGGCCATTCTGTATATTCTGCGCAAGGATTTGGGGCTTGTCCATGGAGACACCTGCAGAGGGCCGGAGGTTGCACCTAGCACTGCTGGTACTCATGGTTGTGTGGTTTGTCTCGGAAGTTCCCCTGGACTATGCAAGTCCAACAACAACAACAACAACCCTCATCCACTCAGCACGCTTTACCATCACTTCAAAGCATCACCCTTCCTACATCGTCATCCAAGTCTCCCTTCTTTGACGTTCCAGCAGTACCCCATTTGCAGCAGCCTACTACCTCCAGACCCCAAGCCAAGCCATCTTTTACAATCCCTCACCCAAACCCAGTAAAGCCAGAACAGACCCCTCCATCCCCAAACATCTTCACCTACAAAGCCCCAGCACACAAACATGCCCACCATCTTCATAGCATACCTCCAAAGGAGAAGACAGTCCAGACTTTGATGTATTTGTTTTGAGATCACACATCCCAAACGCCCGTTACTGATGCAACATTCCCAGTCTTGATCATATGTTATGGCTGCATTCACGCACTCGTTTCAACCAGGTTAGATGAAGCTGCCTGTTGGTAAAATTAACCATAGCGCTCACATGAGAGGCGCTGGTATTCCAGGTCAGATCTGAGCTGGGAATGCAGACTGGGTCCCCAGAAGGTCCAACCGAAAAGGATGTCACTGAAACTGATGATGAACTTGCTCACGAGCTACTTTTTGGGTTAACCGGGGACGACCGGTATAAAGGCCTCAGTGCTGATGCGAACCGGTATGTACCAAATGTGGACATTGAGACCGCGAAAGTTCAAAGGGCGAACGCAGAAGGAATGGAGAAGGTTCGCCATTCATTTTCCCCTGCATGTTTTTCCACCCCATGTTGATGTCTCCTATAGGTTCTTACTTCCTTACTCACCCAGTGGTCCGTTGGTTCTCGTCACACTCACGAAGTGAATCCTGGAGTTCCGGGGGTGTTACCAAATGGGGTTAGGATCAGAATTGTGCTTTCTGCTCTTGTCAACAACCTGTTTGCACGCGATCAGCATTTTTGGCCCCGATGAGCAACCAGAGAACATGCTTTCAGGGTTGTCAAGTGATTTGTCGCCCATGTCCATTGCATCAATCGTAGCCAGCGGCACCGCTTCCTCCACTGAATTGTGCTGGGCCCAAATGGATTTTGAACCGTCGCCAGGCGTTCCCATTTCCCTCGCCCCCCTCACTCCGATCTCGTCCTTTCAGCAAACTAGGGTCAAGTCCAGCCTTGCCTCGGAATCGAAGTCAGGTGGACCTCCAGCGCGATCTATTTTTTCCTCGATTCCTCGTGGGGCCGGTATGGAGTCTCCATGGGCGCTTGGATCATTGAACAGTCTATCTGCTAGGCAACCCGAGTCGGCATCGGCATCCCACTCCGTTTCTAGCCCACCCTTTGCTTCATCATCTTCGGGGTCGCATGCAAGCCGAGGCCCTCGAGTGCGCAAAGCTGTCGGGCATTCTCGGGATTTGTACAATTCTGGAATTCGAAGGTGTTGGCCCATTTGTGCAAGTCACCTGACGGATTTTGATGAATGTCCACCTGAGTGCCTTCACGCAGAGGCCTATGCAGCGGACAAGAATGGTCTCCTTACACTATTAATTTAAAGAAGCCTGACCACGATCGGTTCAGGGTTGCCGGACCCCGGCATTCCATTGCGCTCTGCTATTCCTCAGTTTGTCCTCAACGACGTTAACGACAAGGGCGAACCAAAGGAACTCGCCATCAGCGGAACACGGATGGCTGCACTTTTGCCACGATTCCTCAGGCTATCTGCCTTCATCACTCGAGAACTTGGTTGTGAGATGCGTGAGCAGCGGCAGCAATTCGCTGATGTGAAGGCCGGGACTGTCATACCTGCAGAGCCCTCTTCCTCCAACCCCACTTCTATTGCTGACATTCCTTCCACCACTGGCGATGGGCGCCCCACCCGCATCTGGTATGCCTTACTGAGTGGTATGGTCACTAGGGCCGCTTTAGAGGGATACCTGGGACGTGGTTGGTTGGGGCCCGATGCTCTTGAAATCCTTTTTGGTATTGGGGTAGGTGTGGACTGGGAAGATGTTGTTGAGAAACCTGATGAAAAGAATGTTTCCACAATGCGTGCCCGCTTGGGATCGACCTCATCCGACGTGAAATCTGTGGAGGATGATGGAGTCAGCCAGAAGCAAGGATCAATTGACACGTCACTTTCGGAAGCTTACGCTGCCCAGTTTGAGCCCGATGGCATGCCTACGTTAGCCGAGGCTGCGAAAATTCTCTTCAAGCATGGTATTCCTACTGGCATCGCAGGTTCTCAGTCAGAGTTGAGTGTTATCAACTCCTATGCGAATGGATTCCAGACCACATGTTTGGGAAACACACGCCCCATTGACACTGATCCTGAATGGGCGGTTGAGATGACTGAACATGTCTCTGAGGTTAGTTTCCTCAAGGCGAACTTGATTCCCTTGCTAACTATCCATATCCTCAGTTTGCCAGTGTGCACCATATGACCGACCTTCACATGCATTTGCTTGACCTTTCGAAGCGATATCCAGCTGAGCCTGTTGAACGTGCAGCTCTTCGATTCTTGGAAGCCATTGCTCAGTGGCGTGGTCGTGCCCATAATTTGATCGCTAACTGATCCTCCGACCCCACAAGTACAAGGAACGTGTTCGAAAAGCCAATACCATTGTGACGCAGCCCTCGGCTTCTCTAGAGCGCTGCCGTGGTTCTCTGTCCATTTCTTCTCTCGTGCACCCCACAGAGACATCTGACCCGACCTTTGAGCCCAGCTCTTCCGCTATCTCATCCCAGTTAAATACTCCCGTTACTTCTCCTGTCCTTAAATACTTTGTCGTCCCGAAGCATGTCATCGTGTCTCTCCCTCCTTATCCCTCAAAAAAAATGCATGCGCGATGAAGGCCCTGAGGCTGAAGCAAAGCGATTAAAAACCCCTCGTGTAGGTGCATCATCATCTGCAACCGCTGCAGCTAATACATCTCTACCTGGAATCCTATCTGCACCTGCAACCCCTCTGGCTGAATCTTCCTGGACTGGGCCTACGGTGTTTAATAGGAAGCATAATTTCCTGTCTCCTCCCGATGTACATGTATGTAACCTCAGTTGAAAATGGACAAAAAGCCTTGACTCACTGCTTTGTTATTTTGCACTTAAAAACTAGATTGCGTTCTTCGCACGCACAACATTTTTAACTAAATTTTAATACTTAAGTGCAGTGCAAAGTATGCATTGGAGACATGAAAATGATTTGTTAAGTCCTGGCGATGCGAGTTCAGCGCGCACCTACAGAAAACATGTTTGTCTCGAATGATGAAACGAAAAGAGAGCCATTAGTGGCAAAGGAAATCGAGTTAGAGTTAGAGGTGGAGCAAAGTCAACAGATTCGATGTCGGAGTTAGACCTCGGAGACAAAGAAGATGTTGTAAACGCGGCGTAACCCACTCGCAACCCAGATGTAATATAGAAATGAGAAGAGAAACTGTAACTAACTAAAGAACATACGGTGCCAAAGCACCCACATTTATACTCCTGAATAACATTCTATGCCCAGCGCTTACACAGGCACCTAGAATATTCTCGGATATTCCGGTTCAATCTAATCATGTGACTCGTATTCCAACAGAAGAGACAACAGGTAGTGAAGTGCTAGCAAACAAGGGGGGGTCATTCCAGATAATGAAATAGGAGCTATCGCGTGTAACTCAGTCTCGAAATAGAGAACTAGTATTAAGATTTTTACCTATCACGTGTAACTATAACATGAAAATACAATGAGTTATGCGCAAACACAGATAGGAAAGAAATGGTATCACCTCAGTCTCGAAATAGAGAACTGAGGGAGGGAGAAAAATTATGGCATCCAGCGTAACTTATACGACTGGAGCCAATATCGCTTAAAGCAATTGCCAGTGACAACTGGCAATATAAGACAAAGTAAATTGGGAGCATGTGGTACCGTGACTCTGAAACAAAAAGGTATAGTCATTGTTAGTCACAACGATATTAAGTTAAAATAAAAACTCCCCAATCCATGCTGCAGCTCAGCTGTTGTCGATGAGCGTTGATATTCCAACACCAGACTCCTTCCCAGTTGCTCACATGATTTCTCCGAGGTTTAGCTGCAACTTACATTGCCTCTGAAATCTGTCAAGCAACTGGTACAACTTACAACACATGATGTTCCCATGCTGAGTTGTAATGAGCTGTGCATAGGTTGCGGAATATAATTTTTGGTATTTATGCATGCACCCAACCCAACCCGTGGAGACTAAGGGAGCACATCCAGGGTTGTGAAGTCAATATCCAGGTGTGTGTGAAGTTTAACAGTTTATATATTACTTGGTTACCAGTCACTTGTTTGTGCCTAGTGGCATAAGTGGTACAGCGTTAGTGTCATATCCACACATACTGTCATATCCATACAATCCCGACCTCTGCTCCGGGCTCCCAGAACTCCGAAACTGACTCTGGAGCTGTCATATCCATCCCCGGCCATTGACTTCCGATCCCTCTGATCCCTCCGGTCTACCTCCGCTCCTTCTTCACTAACCTCAGATGGTCACCACCCCCTCCTTTCAATTTATTACATATGCCTCCCTAAGTACAGAGCCCCAAAGACTTCTGGACAGCTTTGACGTCCACTAGCGCACTCCCACCTCCGCTGGGCAATACACTTGCCTGCCCTGCAGAGCCCACCTTTGGGCCTATCCCTCCTTTCCGTTTCTGGATTATCGCCTGCCTTTCTGTTAACCCTGTAACCCGACTCATCGGTAACATTCAGTCAGCTAATGTTTAACCCCATTAGTTCCGCTCTGCTCGGCTCCACCATTTGTGGACCCATCTTCGCTGTAACTATATATATATCCAACTTGTACATAGGTTACACTTCAGTAATAAAAACGACTAGAGTTTACCCCCCTTCAGTTCTGGTCGCCAGTTAGTAAGTTAGGGCAAGGACATGTTACTTGGCACCGGGCTCCTGGCATAAGTTGCTGAGGCCGAAGCCCTCCACCACGGAGACTTTCCCTTGTCTCAACCTGGTCTCTGACAGGAGCCCTACTTCCCTTCCATCACCTTCTCCTTGCCGACTTCCAAGAGGTTATCCCACCTCCGGCTCTGACACCACCTTGGGTCTGACTCCAGAACATTCCGGGTCCAACCTCATCCTCAACACCTTCCAGATGAGCATGCAACACCTATGCTCCCAACTCCGGACCTCCGCTCCGGAATCCTGTTTGCATCTCTGTCTCTGGAACCTTCGGTCTTAGCTCCAACCTCGGACTTTGGCCCCACCTCTGCTTATACCCATTGTATTGGTTAGCTCATTCCATTTAATTACCTTTGCCAACATTCCGGAGTTTAACTTCCGAGTTCGGACTTTCTGGACTTACATTGGACCTTGCAACTATTGCATTGCTCCATTCAGTTCCGCTATTCTCCCTCATTCCTATTTGGGCTGCTGCTTCCTTTCTATTCAGTCAGCTGGCCATTCCCCACTCCCATCCTCCTTCCTTCCATCCTTCTTGGGCCTTGGGCCTTCACTCCTCCTTTGGGAAACACCATTGAGTCAAACCCTTGACCCTTGGTGTTGTTCCTCTTTCCAGCTCCCTTTGTCTCCTTTTGGAGTACCCTTGCTCCTTTTGATTCCGGACCCCTCCTTATATACAATGTACATAGTAACTTGTAACCTCAGTCCGAAATCGACTTGATTTCCCCCCAAGAGACTTCCCCTCTGCTAGATCCGAAATTAGGGACCCCTAGGACAACCAGCAATGGCACAGCGCTCTGCCTGAGTCGCTGAGGCCAAGGTCCTTCCATGCTGAGTCTCCGATTCCACTCTGGAGTCATCCGAATCTGCCTGATCTAGCACATACCCAATCCTGAACCGACTCCCGGACCCTCATTCTCATCACCTCTGGAGTCCTACCCTACCTCTGTCTTTCTGATATTCAACTTCAGACCGAACATCACTCCTCTCACCACCCTCCTATTACTCCTCCTCACTCCTCCACCCTTCCATCCCTCTCCTACCCTACTTCCGTCTGCTCTGATACTCGCCTTCAGACCTGACACCATTCCTCCTCCACTCCTCTCATCACTCTCCTCCCTCTGACCCTCTTCTGCCAAACCTCCAGCAAGTTACGACCTTCCACCGCTGCCCTGTACCCTTGTCAGGGCATGTGTCATATCCATCCCTGGCCATCAACTTCCGGTCCCTCCGTTCCCTCCGGTCTAACTCCGCTCCTTCACTAACCTCGGAGCTCCCGTATTCCGCAATCCTCTCGGTACCCCTTGATGGTCACCACCCCCTCATTTCAATTTATTACCTACGCCTCCCTAAGTATGGAGCCCCGAAGACTTCCGGACAGCTCCAACGTCCGCTAGCGCACCCCCACCTCCGCTGGGCAATACACTCGCCTGCCCTGCAGAGCCCACCTTCGGGCCTATCCCTCCTTTCCGTTTCTGGGTTATCGCCTGCCTTACCGCTAACCCTGCGACCCAACTCGTCGGTAATATTCAGTCGGCTAATGCTTTAACCCCGTTAGCTCCGCTCCGTTCAGCTCCGCTGATTGCAGACCCGTCTTCACTGTAACCATATATATATCCTGCTTGTACATAGGTTACACTCCAGTAATAAAATCAACTAGAGTTACCCCCCCTTCGGTTCTGATTGCCAGTCAGTAAGTTAGGGCACGGACGTGTCACTAGGCACAGCGCTCTTGGCAGAAGTCGCTGAGGCCAAAGCCCTCCACTATGGAGACACTCCCTCATCTCGAATCTGGTCTCTGACAGCATGCCGCTCCGCTGCACGCTGCACCCTCCCGTTGCCCCTCTTTCCTTCTCTTCCCTCTTTCGCTTTCCCTTTGTCTTTCTTCTTTCCTTTTCTCTCTTTATACAGACGACCTCTCCTCTCACCTGTGTAGCACGGACATGCCTGACACCAAGTATCCATGTGGGTACTGCGCCACCGGGTATGCCATGCATCCTCATTTGTACTTCTTTCCTCTGACACTTGGGATCGCCTGTGGAGTCATCCGCAATAGCCCGGCTCTACCTGGGCTGATGTGGCACCCCACACGTGACCCGTTCCTGCCTGTATATAAACTGAGCTGAAGCAGAACCGAAGAAGTAGCCTTCTTCTCACTGCTGCTTCAGGCAAGTATCCTACTTTAGTTTAGTTTAGTTTAGTTTAGTTTAGCTTTTCATCCTAATGACAATCACTACTGCTTCAGCCTAAGAAGCTACATAGGGACATAAGCCCAGAGAAGGGCTGCCCACCATACAGTCTCACCGCCCCACTGCCGGCCACTAGTGCCGAGCTTTATGCCACTACCTCTGCCTCTCTTGAGCTGTCCCTGACAACCCTGTACTCAGACACTGCTCGTACCTTTGCTCCAAGATTCCATCATAGTTCCGACCTCGGACTTTGACTCCACCTCAGTTGCATTGGTGACCTCATACTACGTAAACACCATTGCTAACATTCCTTGGACTTTCAACCCCGCCTCCACAACCTCCATAAGCTCTGCAACCTTTGAGCTCCATGGACCTTACTTGGCACTTTCGCTGATTGTAATGTATCTTTTGTGCTTTCCCCTCATCCTTATTTGGGCTGGTGCTTCTCTCCATTCTAGCCAGTTAGTCATCATCCCCACTTCACCTCATCCTCCTGCCCCTCTGGGCTTCACCCTCCCTATCTCCTTTCGGATGTACCACAGGTTCCAACCTATGACCTTCAGTGCCGCTCCACTTCCATCACCCCTTTGTTCCCATTTGGACGCCTTTGTTTCGATTTGGACCCCCTTTGACTTCCTTGTGCTTTTGTCTCTCTATTATATACAGGTGCTTGTACATACTCGTTTTAGGCCCTCAGTCTAAAATCGACCTGAAATGCCCCCTGGAGACTTCCTGCTCACTGCCTCTGAAATTAAGGACCAAATGGACAAACAGCAATGGCACAGCACTCTGCATGAGTCGCTGAGGCCAAGGTCCCTCCTTGCTAAGTCTCCAGTTCCCCTCCAGAATTGTCTGCCGTCGCCCAGTTCTAACAGTTAGCTGAGAGTATGCAGTTTTTTTAAGTGGCACATGTTTGATTCTCACTTAGGAAAACTTTTTTCAGGCCCTCCCATGGAATAATTGTGTGAAATGGTTGTTTTCTGTACACTAAGGAGTGGAGGGTATGGACAAAAAAGTTTTCCCAAGTGAGAATTGAACATGTGCCACTTGAAAAAACTGCATACCCTCAGCCAATGCTGTACCACTTATGCCACTGGGCACAACCAAGTGACTGGTAACCAAGTAATATATAAACTTTTAAACTTCATGCACACCCAGATATTGACTTCACAACCCTGGATGTGCTCCCTTAGTCTCCACAGGTTGGGTTGGGTGCAATGACTGCATGCGTAAATACTAAAAATTATATTCCGCAACCTATGTACAGCTCATTACAACTTAGCATGGGAACATCATGTGTTGGAAGTTGTACCAGTTGCTTGACAGATTTTGGAGGCAACGTAAGTTGTGGCTAAACCTTGGAGAAATCATGTGAGCAACTGGGAAGGAGTCTGGGGTCATTCAGGAAATGCTGAACCCCATGTTAGTATGATAGTTACTCTGCACACAGAGTCACCCCACAGGTAATATTATGCAATTTTCGATGCTGAAAATTTGTCATCATCTTCCCCTTTACATATGTTTTCTTACATTTCTTTTGCACTTACGTCATCCATGTTGTCTGCCAATATCAGACCTGTGTGCAGGCATTCTTGGATGTGTGCTCATCCACTGCTGATATGATAGCCAGCGCTTTATCTCCCAGCAGCGATATGCATGTGCTGCTGTTATCTTCATTGTCCTTTGAAGACTTCTGAGGGCATCTCAGCATCTCTGAGTGCCTGCTCTCTGAAGTGCCCTGCACTTCGACCCATTCTGGGCCAGCCAAATTCACGGGCCATACCCATTCCTCCCACTCTGAAGGGTCTAATATGGTCCAAGTGACCATCTCCCCACTGGTTCCATGGGGAGATAATGGCATCTCAGCATCTGCTGAGTGCCAGCTCACCGAAGTGTCCTGCACTTCAGCTTTTTCTGGGCTGGTCAAATCCCCAGCCCCTGCTCTTTCTTCTCATTAAGAGAGGTCAAAGACAGTCTATAGTAACTGGACCGAAGATCCACCTACAAACTGTGCACAACAACTGGTAAGTTGGTTGAAGTGCCACTGGGTATCGGACTCGGTGTACATATGGGAAACCAGCAAGTGCTGGAAACAATGCAGACAAAGCAAACAAAGATGAGTGCTTTGAGTGAATGGCTAACTTCAACACAGTCTACTTGACTGTCCTCCCTCTGGTTTTGTGCCAGAATGACAGCAGCTCAGCTTCCAGCTGGCTCACCGATGTCCCCTGCACATCGATTTTCTCTGAGGCTGTCGGATATCCAGCCTCAACCTGTTCCTCTTGTTCCAAGAGGCCACAGGTAGCTCCTATGACTGCTTCTCCACCAGCTCTTGGTGGGGAAATGCGTTTATCCCTCACTGAACGTGACCTATGTCATTTCCAGTGGGGTGGCTCTTCAGCCATTGCAGGTTGCTGTCCTCAAATCCAACATTCACTGGGTCCCAACCCGGTCTAAGGATGTAGGGGTTCTAACCCCTACTCACACTCACTCTGGCTTGCTGATTTTGGGCCAGATTGCACCAGCAACAGATGCCTGACTGCCTCTATCCTTATGCTTTAATATTGTCTGTGAATCGCTTAACCATAGACCCCTAATCACTTTTATTGTCTTTGTCTTCAGAGATCGACTCTGAAGGGCCTCCGCTTCCTTTTTTTGAGTTTCTCAATTGTATTTCTTGTGTTGTGAGGAAAAGTTATGAATTTGATTATGTAACTCTTACAACAATCATGGCTTGACAAAAATGAGTGGGCAGTGCAGAGTTCAGCGAAGTGCAAAGTGCAAGCACTCTAGTCTCTGGTCAGAGGGACTAAACCTATTTTGCACACATCAAAATTTTCGATTCAAATGTATTTGCAAATGTATATTATCATTGAAAATAAATTAGAAACCTCCACTATGCCAATAGTTAGCCTTGTTTCCTTGCTTGTTTGCTGTTGCGGGATTCTTGATGTCTTCTATTCACTACCCGAAAGGGGCCTCTCATGGGGACAACCAGCCAGGAGTTAGGAGTTCAATCAGCATGGCCCCAGACGTTCTATAGGGGATCACTTGCAGCATAACAGGCTCATGTGATATGGTCTACCACTGTCACAATTCAGAAGAATTTGAATTGTTCAGTCGCGAATCCGGGCATTGGCAAACGATGTTGGTGTTATCCGGGAGCTTAGAATCATGTGGAACTTGAGTATAGAATCATGTATGATAATATGCCTTGGGCCTAGCTCCGTGCTCTTCATGCGCCACACCAGGCAGCTCATTAAAGCATGTAAAATATCGAGAGTTCACACACACACACACACACACTGCATGTCCAGTTCGGGGGAATGTAGGACCCTAGACCCTGACATGACCTATGGAACTAATTTGTCTGTCAGAAAACAACAACAGTATTAAGAGGCATATACCCAAACCGTCTCACAGCCCATCCCATTACACCTAACAACATTAGTGCCATTGTCAATTTCACTTGTGGTAACTTTCATGGTACAACACATATGAATGCCAGTAGGACGTTTGGGAGCATGGTGCATTGGACAGCCACTGGAATAGGTGGTTGGCAAAGCTGAGGCTGGGGAGGGTGGATGGGGCTAGGAGAGGTGGGAATATGTTCAGGGGTGCTGGTATCGAGGTCATCATCAATATCTTGTTCCAGTGGCAGGACTCCGATGGGAGTCTGCCAGGCCCTGGTAATGGATCTGAGCATGGTGCATTTCCTTGCAAAGGAAGTGATGGAGGGAGTCGAGATCTACTGAGTACTCTTGGGCACATACTGATGTCAGGTCTCACTCCAGGTGAATGGTGATGTTCGGATGGCAATCCTTATTGGCAAAGAATGGAGAGATGCCTGTGGTGGCATTCGGAGCTTGTTGTATGTGAGAGGTAGGAGTTCGGACCAATTATCCTGCTGGTAGTTACTATAGATGTGCAGGTACTGCTCAAGCATCTGGTTCATCCATTTGGTCCGTCCATCTCCTTCTGGGTGATAACTGGAGGTGAAGTGGAGGCAGCTTTACCAAGTGAACGGAAAAAATGAGAAATGAACTCCGGACCCCTGTTGGAGGTGATGTGGGAAGGAACTCCATGTTTGGAAAACACGTGGAGAAGGAATAACTTGGCCAGTTCTGGAGAGGTGATGGTGTTGTGGGTAGGGATGAAGATGCTGCCATTGGGCTTGTGATTTTCACTGCCAATGTCAACACCACCTTGCTAGTTATGTTTGCTAGCTGCTTGCTCATGCACTGCCTGTGTTGACATCACCCTGCCTTGCCAGTTGGGTGTCTTGAGTGTAATCTCTGAAAATTACCCTGTAGGCTGCCAATGCTAGCTGCATTTTGCTGGCTGTCTGTCTGTGTTTTGACACCACTTGTTCTTCCAATTGAAACATGATGTCTTGTCTGCCACTACCCATTTTCCTACCCATTCCTGCTCATCACTGTACATGCCTGCTACACTTCCTGATCTATGCACCCATGGCCACCACTGCTGCATGCGACTTTGATATGTCCTGCCAACAGAACTGGAGGAATGTATGGTCATCGGAATGAGGGGAAGTGTTGAAGTGGCATTCGGATGCCCTTGTTGTTATGATTTTTATGGGAAGTTTCGTTGTCCTAATGCTTTAGCCTTTGTTCATTTGTGCCACACAGAGATGTATACAAGTATGATGTGTAGAGCTGAGTGCGATATCTATTGACATTGTGACATCGCACTCAGAGAGAGGTCAGGCTGCAATGCAGCAATTATAAGTTATAACACCGCGATTATAACACTATGACCCAATGGCACTTGTTCAAGAGGACCTCCATAGTGGGAATGGAGGCTCATCAGCCCATCCTCACACACACAGGCAACAAAGGGGGAGTGAAACTGCAGTGTTGACTCACTGTATAGATACATATAACCAAAGCTGATCCAAGCTAATGTCCAAGGGATCTGATGGTGTTGGGGACAGACAGAAATGGACAGAACTGTTGGAAACTGCAGCCCAACGCCACTTGCGGTCAGGGCCGAAGGTTGCCTGGCACAAAGGTTGCCAAGGCAAGGTACCCAGGCTGCACACACTTGCTTTGGGAGGCAGGAACACTTTGAGGTGTGATCACCACCCAACCTTTCTCTTTCCCTTTGTGTTGTTACTCACCATGTCATATCCATACAAATCCCGACCTCCGCTCCGGGCTCCTGGAACTCTGAACCTGACTTCTGGAGTCTTACTTCCCTTCCATCACCTCCTCCTTGCTGACTCCCAAGAGGTTATCCCACCTCTGGCTCTGACACCACCTTCGGTCCGACTCTGGAACATTCCGGGTCCGACCCCAACCTTGACACCTTCCAGGCGAGTACACAACACCTATGCTCCTGACTCCGGGCCTCTGCTGAAGGAGCGGAGCTGGATCACCTTATGTAACCAGTTTCCTACGTCCAATAACGATATTAGAGTTTGTGCTGATTTGCGTACTGACCATGTTTTGGTTGCCAAATATATGATTGTTCACTGTCTAAACAACAATAAACACCCCCCAACGATCTCACCTGACGTATAGATCATCTACGGATAAAATTTTATATTGACTTTACTATGATTTCTAGTCAATATTACACCTAGATATACCACTTTTCAGTAGGATGTGATTTTCCTGATAATTTACTGAAGGAAATCTACTAATAAAATAATTCCGCAATAAATGTTACTCAATACAGGAGTGACCAAACTGCTCTTTCTATTGCTTAGAGTGTGTGCTAGTTATCTAGCAGGTTCAGGATCGCTCGCTTTTCTCCTGTGGTGTGATAACCAAATATTGCTGAGAGATTATTCAATTAAGAAGTCCCTCCACCAAATTCTCACTAATTCTCACTATGACACTTTTGTTCAGCTGTGTCTAACTGACCCTAACTCACGCTTAGAGTGACGTGTTAGTTTTATATTAGCTAACAACTAATATTTGCTTTTATCTTTTGGAGCAAATGAACCAACCACTGGTGAGGAGAATTAAACTTTTATTTCTACCTGAGGTTTGAGAGGGGGCAGAAGCGGCGGCCTTTTATGCTTTTCAGAGGCCTCTCTACTCCCACGCCTCGCACTAGTTACATGTGCTACATTTGTATTATAGATCGTTCTAGAATGATATAGGGGCTTGGGCTGTGTAAGCTTAATAATGGACTTAGGACATGACTCAGCAATAAGTAATTCATTTCTTTGTCTTTTGGGCCGATCTTAGCGGGATCTTGTAGCGCTGAAGCTATGCTCTACACCGCCTTAATTACGAACGGTTATCTTTAGAAATGACTCGGCTATAAAGGAACTTTCTAGACTGTTCTCTAATTGACTCCTTTTTGTGAAGCCGCATCATTACTAATGTTCTAGAGCCTTCCCAATTAATTAACCGATCCGCGGACTTCTGAATCACTTCATGCTTATGATCCGAGATCCAGATCATCAATCATTCCTTTGTTCCGATTTATTTGGGCTTAAAATCAAAAAGTTTTGATGAATCATGGGAAAATATACAAGATCCGTTTTTTTTAGCATTTTCTCCTCTTCTGATGCGATCAAAAACTGTCCGCCCGCGCCGGGGAATACTCTATCATATGGTATTCGGTCCGCCAGACTTCCGGGCGCCAATATATTTCCCTTGAGTCACATTACTTTTTGTAAGAATTAGCAAATAAATATATATGAATTATAAGGTGTTTCGCCGTTTGAGCAATATCTCCGTCAGTTTTGAAGCTTTTAGAATGAAACAAAACCGTGGATAAATTTAAGAAACAGTCCTTTCAGATGGTCAAAAGATTACAGTCAAAAGTTTACTGGTTCCCGAGATATTCACATTTCTTTCCCAATGTTCCTTCTTATTCTGCCGTCTATGTGCTATTTTCTTGTTGTAGGGTTATATTCTTTGAATATTATTTCTCCTACACCGCTCCGGAATCCCGTTCACGTCTCCGTCTCCAGAACCTCCAGTCTTAGCTCTGAATTCGGACTTTGACCCCACCTCTGCTTATACCCATTGTATTGGTTAGCTCATTCCATTTAATTACGTTTGCCAATATTCTGGAGTTTAACTTCCAAGTTCGGACTTTCCGGACTTACCTTGGACCTTGCAACTATTGCATTGTCCTATTCAATTCTGCTATTCTCCCTCATTCTTATTTGGGCTGCTGCTTCCTTTCTATTCAGTCAGCTAGCCATTCCCCACTCCCAACCTCCTTCCTTCCTCCTTGGGCCTTGGCCCTTCATTCCTCCTTTGAGAAACACCATTGAGTCAAACCCTTGACCCTCAGTGTTGTTCCTCTTTCCATCTCCCTTTGTCTCCTTTCATCCTACCCTCGCTCCTTTTGATTCCGGACCCCTCCTTATATACAATGTACATAGTAACTTGTAACCTCAGTCCAAAATCGACCTGAATTCCCCCAAGAGACTTTCCCTCTGCTAGATCCGAAATTAGGGACCCCCAGGACAACCAGCAATGGCACAGCGCTCCACCTGAGTCGCTGAGGCCAAGGTCCTTCCATGCTAAGTCTCCGATTCCACTCCGGAGTCGTCCAAATCCGCCCGTTCCAACACACCATTGTTTTCGCACTTTGATACTCTTGGTTTCACCTCAGTGGCATAGAGCCCACATTTATGTATATAAGGATGGGACTTGCTCTGGCAGCCAATACTTTACCAATACAAGTATTGCATTGCACAGTGATTACAAGAGCAACATAAGAACATAAATATGAAAGATATATGGGAGTAGCAACACAATGGATAGAATATGACCATCTCCACAAGGGCTGTACTAAATCTCCCAAGCTTAGACTCGTTGGACTCGCCTTGACAATAGCTTTTTAACGATATGAGATCTATCTGGATCGGAGAAGAACTGGGGGAGATATGGTGAAAATACTGTGAAAGTGGCTCAATATGGAAATTAACATGTGCGAGTCCTGAGAGTGATGATAGCATTGGCACTTGTCCAAGAGGACCTCCATATTCTGCAGTCAAACCAGTCTGGAAAGTGCTGACAGTGTTGGCAGGACCTCCATATCGGGTGGCAGTGCAATTGGACCTGGTCAAGAAAGTGCTGACAGTGTCAGCACTTTGCCCAGAGGACTTCCATATTGGGTGGCAGTGCAGTCAGACCTCGTTCAGAAAGTGCTGACACTGTTGGCACTTTGTCCAGAGGACTTCCATAGTGGGTGGCAGTGCAGTCAAACCTCATCCAGAAAGTGCCAACACTGTTGGCACTTGTCCAAGTGAGCCTCTATAGTGGGAGGCAGTGCAGTCAAACCTCATCCAGAAATTGCTGACCTGTCAGCACTTTGCCCAGAGGACCTCCATAGTGGGAGGCAGTGCAGTCAGACCTGGTCCAGAAAGTGCTGACAGTGCCGGCACTTTGTCCAGTGGACCTCCATAGTGGGTGGCAGTGTAGTCAGACCTGGTCCAGAAAGTGCTGACACTGTCAGCACTTTGCCCAGTGGACCTCCATAGTGGGTGGTAGTGCAGTTAGACCTGGTCCAGAAAGTGCCAACAGTGTCAGCACTTTGCCCAGAGGACCTCCATAGTGTGTGGTTGGTTGCAGTCAGACCTGGGCTGACAGTGTCAGCACTTTGCTGTGTAAGCAAATGGATGAGTAATGGCCAATGGCAGGATTGAGCACAAGTCAATCGTGCCCTACTTGTGCCATTGCTGTTTTCTCCCCCATTTCTCAATATTATCAGGCGCCGTTGATGTTCCAAAGGCCGTATTTATAATCTCCACCGGATGAAAAAGACCCTGAGTCAATAGCTGCTCTCGTTCTTGAGCTATTCAATAAACACACTTGTGCCCTCCACTCGTGCCCATGGTCCCATGTTCAAACTTTATTTCTTGAATAACTTCACAATGAGTGACCCGTTTCACTCAGGGTTTTCTGCATCGTGTATATATTTCCAATACCTACCTTTTGATATGCTATACACCCCAAATGAATCGATTCTCAACTTGAGCTCAAACCCTAAAACTCAGGGCACAACTTTGTTTCCTCAATAACTCAGTAACTGTGGCAGCTATTCACTCAGGGTTTTTTGCATCTTGTAGAGGAAATCCATACGGCCTTTGGACACTTGTCTATATTTCATAATATTGAGAACTGGCCGAGTACTGGCCAATGGCACAATAGGGCACGACTAGGGCATGACTGGGCACGACAATGAATTGGCCATAACTCCTGAACCGTTTACCGGACTTCCATTCCCGTTACACTGTTGGAAAGGTGTGATTTTTCTCTTCTTTATGATACCAAAAAATCGCCATGGCACAAGTATTATGATTCATAATACCCACTGTGATTAGATAGGCTTCACGTCAAGGGTGCAGGGTGCAGAAATGTCGATGCTTATAACTTTTCAACCGCTGAACTAAATTTCAAATGATTAGTACCGTTAGAAAGGTGTGATTTTTCTCTTTTTTTCAAGCTCGGAAAATCCCGAGGGTGCAGCGGCAAATGCCTTTTGCCAGGTTCTTCTATAGATACTTTTTTTTTTTTTTTTTGAATCCGAGTGCAACGACCCAGGTTTTTTGCCAACCAGGTGTTTTCCATGCACGGAGCAAAAGTAAAATACAGCCATTCAGTAAATAACTTGGGCTCCACCATGTTGATTACCGCCATTTTACTTCCCACTCTGGTGCGGGATATTATCCAAAAGGCCCAACGTTAGCATGGTCACTACCCTCTTGTAGTTCCATGCCGCCTCGATATCGTGCACCAGGGCATCTTGGCCTCACTTGCCGGGGTGTAAGCACCGTCGGAAGTGTCCCGTGCCAGTCCCAGTGACCGTGGGATCGTTCTGGGCGAGTCGCTCCCCCAGAACGTTCCCACGCTTGTGGCAGTGATACTTTCAAGAAAGTTCCCACACTATCCCATCTGCGTGTATGTTACAGCCAACATTGAAGGAAATCGGAGGAACCCAGTGGGTGCGCAGTCTGCCCCACCCTAGGGAACGGTGCTGAACCCTCACACTGACCCCCAAGAGTCCTCCGTGCTCCCACCTCCAGTTTCGATATCCTTCTGTGGCTATGTTACACCCGTTTGCAGAAAAATCTTCCGTCTTGAATTTATCCCGTATGTGGTCCTAGTCGTTCATTTTCCTGAAAAAGTTGGAAGGATCAGGTTCAATATCAAATAGGATTTCATAACCCATTTAGCCCTGGGGTCCAATCGCCCATCTGAGCAACGAGAGAGTGTACCAGTTCATGAACCAGTCACGTCTGTACAAGTGCGCGCGCGCGATTGCATGAGACTGACGTGAAATGGGGGGAGGGGGGTTTGATGGCACCGATTGTCTGTTGGCATTGGGGTTGTTCCCAGCTGAGTCTCTTTCGTCTGGCTTGGGGTTTTGGCATTCAGCGACTAGCTAAATATTCTATTCACATTCTATTCACATTCCAAATGCATCCAGGAGGCCTTCTAGCGCCATTTTGATGCACTCCCAGCCCATTTCCCTCCCGAATCGCCCACTCCATCCCACGGGTCCACCTCTATTCCAACGATAAAAAACCCGTGGTGTCCGGTTACATTTACTCCATCGGCACTGAGCATCTGATGCCGTCGGTGGTGCTGGCACGGAGTGCCAAGTATCCATAGACACCATGATATCCTTTGCACCAGGCTCAAGATGTTTGGACAAGACGATCGGACTATTCTTGTAAACTCGCTCACGCGCTTACGGCGGTATAAGTAATCAGACATGTTATCACCCGGCAGGTGTCTGAATGCGATATCGATCCGATAGTTACATATCATGTTCTGGCCACATCCTATATACATGTAACCAAGATAAAAAAAGAAATACAGAGTGGCGTCCAATGTGAGGTTAGAGAGATGATAGGATCCATCCCGCCACCAGCCAGTCCCGGTAGTCGCAATATGTGTGACTCGGTGTGCCACGTCGGCAATAAGGTGCCTAGTGGCCCATCCTTGTCGCTGCCCCACATCCGGTCGCTACGTCGACAAGACCAAAGTGATCATGAGATGCGCCCAAGCGCTACATGTGGAACCTGAATGTGGAACCCAAATAACAGTAGGACAAGCAGCATATCATAACCGATATCCCCATGACATGCATACCTGTGCATCCTCATGGTTAGCTTTCGCTCCTTATGACCCCTGTCCAGGTACATATGATGGATCTCCAGCCTCAGAGTCCCTATCCTCGAATACAACCATGAGCGTTTCATCCCTCTCCTCCTCGTAGAAGGCCCTAAGCAGATTTTTGCCCACAATTATGTTCTGACTTGGATTGAGCGATGCTAACTAATACTGATAAACATGTCACTTACTCCAGCTTTCGGTGTGAATCCAGTCACTGCTTCGCTCCCTAGGGGAAGGCGAGGATGGTTGCGGACCCAAACGTTCGGCGGCATCACTGTTAGGAAACATCTCATGAACCCTAGTGATATCCTCACGTCCCCATCATAAGCCAACACCAGTTTGTTGAACATCACCACCTCGATGCTGTCAAGGGGGATCAACCCTGACACTATGACTTTGTTCCATGCCGCTCCCGGCTCCTTCCCTGGTACATAAAATTAGCCTTCTGGCAGTAAAACCAACGCCAGCCCATACCTTCCCCCACAAATTTTTGAGGAAGTGCTACCAGATTTTGGGGTCGTGTAAATCGGAACAGACAAAATCGCACCAGTGCATGATATATGATATCGTGATCAGGGTATGAATGGAACGCCACAAAGGCTTGAAGTATGACCTGGCCAAGATGACCTTCGAAGTCATCTCTCGGGCGGAGTGCAAAGTCCATGGTGTTGTGGTCCGTGATCCAGCTATATGGTCTAGCCGGAGGTTCTCTCAAGGAATGCCGACTTATGACTGGCTGCCTCTTGATCTCGATCAGCAGCTGGCACCGCCGTGACTCGTTCCATCCAATGGGACCTGGATAGTATACCAGAACCGAATCTGGAGTAGCCGTCAGGTACTTTGTGACATTTCCATTATTTGGATGGACGCTGAACACCGTTGTTGGGCCGTCCAAACGTCGTTGTGGACTCGATATGATGGTGCCCTTAAAGGGTGGACTGATGTGAGTTATACACATGCCCAATATTTTCTCGTAAACAGTGTAAAACGGATACTCGAAATTCCTTGACCGCTCGCAGTCTCTGTATGCTGCAGTCAGAGCATCAAAGGATTCCGTGTACCACCATTCAGGGAGAAGGTCTTCTGCGACGATGATGTTCATCTCTACAGGTCAGCGGAGAGCCAGAGAAACAGACCCCTTGCAAGCTCGGCCAATAATAATCAGGTGTATTAAGCTTAAGTCCCCGGAGGGCCACATGCGAGGAATCAACTGAATAGACGATGATACCTTGACAATTTGATCGTTGGCAATTTATTTTCTACTGATTTCGGGATAATCAGATGACCATCAGCGGAGTTAGCCCTAGTTTCCCCCCTTACACGCACCCCACCATGGATGTTACCACTGGCCAGTTCAGCAGCCTCAGCATCCATAGCTCAGATGATCGAGAAACTGATCCTGAGAGACAGGGGAAACAAGATACCCTCCAGCTCAAGCCTGTACGTTTGTTCCATCGAGGTACTTGGTCTGAACTCTGCTGATCTACATATAGCGTCCTCTTATGCCAGAGTACATGCTTGCCCACGAGCCGTGGTCCGGTCCTTGGCTTCCACCTGAATACGTCCAGAGCATGTTCAGCGATCCTCCTCTTATGTATTTTGGTATCGGTCTCCAGTTTACTGCCACAGACATGCTTCCTCTCGCCCAGGCTCTCGGGGTACCCACCACCCCGGGTGAAGGAAAGTCCCTGCTCCTGCTTGAGAACATTTATATGGCTGTTCGCAAGAGTATTCGTGACAAGTTCAAGTCACGTTGGCCAGTCAAATCCAGGGGGGTCATATCGCACAACACGGAGGTGACGCGAGTGATATCCATCTCCAACAATACCTTGGACACGTTATCTCACAGGTGTTCGGCTGTAGACGATCACCCTGACTCCATCAAATGGAAAGAACTGCAGAACGCCGCAGACGCTCTGTGTGCGTTGACAGGAAGGGAGCCCAAGTGGTACATAGGCGATCGCAATTGGCCATAGCATGTTTGGAATGTGATGCCTGCTTGTCCTTGTATCCTTGTGTTCACGTTCACGTTCCCCTCATCATGTCCTTGCACTCCCGCTCCTGCCATCATCCTCTCCGTCCTATTGACTGTATACTAGGGTTTGAGACACAAGTTTTTTTGCAACGTTTTTTGATACAACTACTGTAGACCTAAAATGTTGCCTCAAATTTGTTGTTTGGGCACGAAACCAATGCCTGGCGCTGACTGTTACATAAGCCACGCTTGCGCAAAGCGCTGGAAAAATTTTCCCAGGGCATCCTGCTGCATATTCCATTATTTTTCCCACTCTAACGAAGAGACCCCGGTGCGATGCAGCACTGTGGCCAACTCGCAACGTGATGTTGAGCTAGCGGTGCCACCCTTGTTATTCCCACTCTTATGAAAGCAGTTAACGATCTTTCTCTTTCGTTTTAAAGATAAAAAAGGCTATGACTCGTGAAATCTGTACATAGTCAGGAAAGTTAATGCTCAAACTAGACAAATTCCTCCCCGCGCACTGTGAGAAGTTTTCCCGCAAATTTGTGGGTTTGGGAGTTGCGGTTCACACGGGGACTTCGTCTATCTCTCTCTCTGTTCCCCCACACATTTCCGATTGACACTGGATTCCTATGATAAGCACAGCTATGCTTTTCTCAGCTAGCGCTCTGTTTTCTGCCCCCAATTCGATGCTCACTACCATGTTGAACTGTGAAGATGCGATCTCGTGTGATCAAGCATAGGTTGTGCCCTTTGGCAGCCGCATCTGTATCTACCGTTTGATCACTTACTTAACTGTGGATGCATGCCCCATTGCACACTCCCATGCCAATCATGGTCAGGTTTGTGACCCCCTTGCAATTGGATGTGCCTTGGCGCCTCCTCCGCTTGTTCTTGTTGATGAAATAACATTTTTCCTCGTATCCCACCTAGGTAATTATGTGAGATGCCACTCTCTCCCTTGTCCGATCTGTGGACAATACAAAGATTCCAGGCTGGCCGACATGGCGCGCGCACCCCATCAATTAACCCATTAGCATCCCGAAACTTTGTATTACTGTATAGTACGATGCCCGATTAGTAATATATTATATATCAAAACTGCCTGGGTAACCTATCAATTCTTCCCAGGGAACCCTGTCATAATGGCCCCATCATATCTGATAGGAGGTCCTGGTACTCGAAATCTAATGGTTGGAAACAGTGACGGGGACACCTTAGCAGGGTTGATACCAGGCCAACCCATTACAATTTGCCCAGGTTACTTCCCACGCCTGGCTATGACATGTGATCCATCCATATCTGTTACCCGGGAAATCGCCTCGAGGCTTCTCATCTTGTACTCGCGCTACCCAGGATGACCAATAATGGACCAACAAGGGGCTGGGGGAATTTCCCAAGGGGTTGGTCCAAACAATTGTGGGACGCGATGGTGCCCCACATCGCTCTGAACCCTGGACTTTCTCCATATGCCCTCTGGAGAGATTTCCACGAAAAGGTATGTTGTAGTACTGTGAGGTTAGGAATGAGATTCAATTTTTGTGCAGTATCCTGACAGATTGCCGGCTACCTACTCTTTTTACCACCGAAAATTTCATGACGATTTTTCCCAAGTGGTGAGTGGGTACCTCAGGGAACGTAGAAACGTTCCAGCGAGACCGGAGGTGATGCTGACGAGGAGGCCAGAGGGTCGCTCCGAGGAGCACCCAGCTTTCTCGAATGATGAATGGGCTGCGGCAGTACGATGGATTCTGACCAGGGAGGCCCCGTCAAGCATGGAGGAAAATGTGGAGAGTTGGCGGGAATTTAGCATGGAGGTACGCATGGATGGCTGGTAAGCTGCAAATGAAACCTGACACAACCACAGAATCCATCCCATAACGAGCTTGAGTGGATCGGGCTCTACTACGCACAATACGACCTCTTCCAGGATATCGAACGTCAAGTCCGTTGTTCGAGGTACTCGCATTGAAGGGATTTCTGGTATACCATCACCCCAACGTATAACTTCTATCTCTCCGAGACCCACTCGACGGCTTTCCCCCGCTTTCCCCTGCTTTCCCCTGTATTTTACGCACTGAGAAAAGTGAATATTACAATATCCATGATAATATCGTATATGACAGAGGTTTTACCATAAGACACGATTTTCCCCCTTATTTCGTTTTCATGTTCTTACATCGCGAGAGTTAATCAAATTTGTTATTTTTCTCACACCAACACAAGACGAGAAATTACAACTAATCGCGGATGACAAGGTGTAGTGGGAACGGCCGAGGGGACGGCCTATGAATTGGTTTGAGCATGCAACGCGCGACCCGTGTTAAATATACATAGGGTACGTATTTTAGCAGGAGACAGGGGAGGTGGTGGGCGCATAAAAAGGCTGTAAATAAGGCTGTGGATACTGGAAGTGGGCAAGAGAGTTTGTCAGGCGACGGCAGCGATTTCAGACCCTGGCTGAATCGAAGCGTCCTTACTCACCGAGGAAGAACGGGCTGGCAATGGCTGGGGAACAGGAGGCATAGGTCAGAGACCCTTTATAAGTGCGCAGATGTTCCTGTTGGCATATTAGGTTTCAGACCGTACCACAGCTGAGATTGTTCCGTTCTGCGCATCCGCGCTGGAACGTTCAGCATACAGTCTGGAACCAAGCGAGCTGTAGGTCCACGGTGACGGTGTCATCGTGAGATGGGCGAGACCTGGGCAGAGCGGCATTGAGCCGATGGTGCCATAGTGAGATTGTTAAGACATGGGCACGAGCAAGGTGTGGGCGGTAGGGCGGGTGAGATAGCAATGGGCAGGCAGGGGAGCGATCACTGCATGGCTGTGGTAAGCCCTGTCCCGTGATTAGTCTCGTGAAATGGGACATTAAACAACAAAAAACAGGCCGTGGCAGGTGTGATGTTGGCGATGACTTTGACATAGTTCTATTCGTGGTTATACTGTCTTTCAGTAACTTGTTTTCCTTTGAAGTATCATTACTCACATCTTCTTGGACGAAGAGCCAGGCTTCGGAGCACCCCAACTTGCGATCTTCTCCATTGCAGACAAAACTAATACTATCCTTCAGCCCTCAAGTCTCGCGGAATTGTTGAAGGTGACAATAACGATGTTGCCCGGTTGCAACTCCTTCTGGTACTTTCGGTTGACCATGTCATCGTGATTGATGTCGTGGTCGTAAAAGCGTCCACAAGATGAGTTTACTTCGCGATCAGCCTTCGTGATTGCTTTGGCTGACTTACCACTGCGTTCTCGTTCAGTGCCATGACACGGTTTGGGGGCACGCTTGATGAGGCTGGGTCGAGATCTGGCGAATGACACGATTCAGGGGCAGGCTTGTCGAGTAATCCCGAAGGTGATGTTGCAGTCGTAAAAGCGTCCACAGGATGAGTTTACTTTGCGTTCAGCATTCACTCGCCTTCGTGATTACTTTGGCTGACTTACCACTGTGTTCTCGTTCGGTGCCACGACACGGTTTGGGGGCATGTGTCAGGGTTCAGCACCCTGCCTTAGGGGTGCCCCGGACTCCCCACCTACTTTACCCCCTTTTATTCTTTGACTGTTGCCTTGTTGTTGCCTTTGTGTGTTGTGTACATGTGCGCACGGGATAGTGCGGGAACTTTCTGAGCGAGCAGCTCACCCAGAATGTTCCCACGGGTCACAGCCACAGTTCTGGGCGAGCAACTCGCCCAGAACGTTCCCACGCTTGGCACTGCCACCTGGATGTTCCCTCCGGGTCACACTACACAACTCTAAGAGCTGTATAGTTGTGGGCATGTGACCCATTCCTTTATATAGCAACCATGTGGGGAGATGAGACCTTTACCCTTCTTCTCATCTCTTGCCCCGCATAGGCAAGTGTATATATTCCCTTTCTTTTACTATACATCTCATGCCCCGCATAGCGTGAGGACAGGTTAGATGGGGGCTGAGGTCAGGGAGCCTCCGAGTCCAAGGCCGGGCCCTGACAGCATGCTTGACGAGGCTGGGTTGAGATCGGGCGAACGACACGATTCAGGGCAGGCTTGTCGAGTGATCCCGAAGGTGATGTCGCGGTCGTAAAAGCATCCACAGGATGAGTTTACTTTGCGCTCCGCATTCACTCGCCTTCGTGATTACTTTGGCTGACTTACCACTGCGTTCTTGTTCGGTGCCACGACACGGTTCGGGGGCATGCTTGACGAGGCTGGGTTGAGATCGGGCGAACGACACGATTCAGGGCAGGCTTGTCGAGTGATCCTGAAGGTGATGTCGCGGTCGTAAAAGCGTCCACAGGATGAGTTTACTTTGCGCTCAGCCTTGACTCGCCTTTGTGATTACTTTGGCTGACTTACCACTGTGTTCTTGTTCGGTGCCATGACACGGTTCGGAGACACACTTGTCGAAGGCTGTTGTGGCAGTTGTAAAAAGCGGGTCTAGCGTCGATGCATCTACATCACCTTCGCGATTACTTTATACCACCATCGTCTCGAGCCTCAGCCTCTTTCTCCCGTTCCTCACTGCGGTTCCAGTCAGGGGCATATGCATATTTCTAGTTTGACTGGACTGTTGAAGTAGATGCGTATGCGAGGACTCTGTTGGACTTTTTTGATCTGGGAAGGCTTGAGGATAGATTGCGCTGCGTGGATGGGTGGGGCATGGTCCTTGCTTCTGGCGCTGCAGAATTTGGGCTGGCGCCTCTCGAACCATGGGTCAGTTTTGTGTCTGAGAAAGACGGCTCTGTTTTGAACAACCTGTGTGGGCTAAGGAGAATGCGGGGTCAGTCGAACAATATCCGGCGCTGAAGGCAGTCGCTCCCGCGCAAGGGGGTGATGTGAATGATGACTCGCGGATGTCCCTCGTGGATCGGCGCCAGCACTTGAAGGATGGGGGGAAGGACATCTGCTTAAGGTGGAAGCTCTTGCTGAACTGGAGGACCAGGTGCTTCCAGACTTGTACGCCTTCCGGGGGCTCCTCCAGAGATGGCTCTGTTCTAAGTGGAGGAGATTGTACGCGAACAACCTGTGTGGGCTGAGGAGAATGCGGGGTCCGTCGAACAATATCCGGCACTGAAGGCGGTTGCTCCTGAACCGAGGGGGTTTACTGGGGTGATGGTGAATGATGATTTGTGGATGTCCCTCGTGGATCAGTGTCGGCAATTGAACAAACGACTGTGGGCAGGCCATGTCCAACATAGGCTTCCAAACCTTTCATGTGCAGAGCCTTGACCATTTCCTCCGTAATAAAGGGCTCCTACTCGTTTGGCTTTTGATAGGAAACAACAAGCATGGGGCTGATGATGATGCAGAGGAGGAAAGTGGTGTGTAGCTGTAGCGCGCGAGGGCTCCTCAAACCAGTCTAGAAAACAAATGAATATCTCATTTCGTTTCCACAATGGCATTCAGCACGACATTTACTTATCAATAACTTCCAGGGCACCCCGTCAGTACGTCCCGGGCATCCCGTCAGGATGACCCCATCAGACTGCGCATATCTGATAGGAGGTCCCGGCACTCGAAATCTGATGGTTGGCCCTGTCAAATGGTAATGGGGCTACCTAGCAGAGCTCGTACCGGGCCAACCCATTACAATTTGCCAGGGTCAATTCCAAGCGAGGTGGGTGTTTCCATGAACGTCCTGGGAGCCTGGTCGTATTCTGAAACTTGGCTGCCCAGTGTCCAGAGAACCGCAGCGATATATTTGTTTCACGCCTTCGTTCATTGCCCCTCAGTTGTAAGTTTCGTCTTGCGAGTTGGATGGTTGTCCGTTCCCAAGCTCAATAGGGTCATCGTATTTAAATAGTACGTGAGCACCTGTCTTCGTCGATGAAGCGATTGTCTTTCCAAAGGTGCGGAGCTGTCCTCCACAACTGGTGAGGCTGCGGACTGCCCTTTTGATGTTGGCGTCGTAGGCATTCCAGTTTTTTATGGCCATTGGTGAGCCAGGCCTACGCAAACTCTGCCCTGTGGTCATCTTCCTCCTCACTGACTCGCTTGAAGGTCGTGTGCAGTACGGTGTTGAATTCGCTCGATGAGGTTCTTGGGGGCAGGTTGCACGATTAGCCCTAGAAGAAGCATCAGGGTCTGATTCAAGTGTCCCATCCGGTCGAGCAGTGACTTGCTCTGGCCCACCACCAATGCCAAGTTCATGCTTCCCTCGGACTCTGGCTTCAGCGGTTTGCTCCAGTTCTGCCGTGTACCGCATAAAAGGTGGCATCTTGTTGGTCGTTACTGAAGGTTTGCTGCGAAGCGAGATCCGGTTTCCTGCCCATGGCGCCAAAACACGCCTGCAAGGGCAAGGTCACACGAAAAAAAATGAGTGGTTTATAAAGAAACTATTATGGGAGATCCGCAGAAACAGCCATCATCGGACGATGATGAGGATCAACATGATCCTGAAAAAGCAACCACTTCAGGGCTAGTTCCTGAGGGTTTTAAGATCTCTCACCTCCAGAGGAGGTGATCAACTTATGTGCCAACCACGTTATCGAGCTGTTGGAGGGTGGCTGCGCCGGTTGGCAACTTGATGCGGTCCGGTCCCTGCGATTTCATCGTGCGACATATGTTGAGTAACTCGGCATCGAGATCAAGGTTATGTGTGAAAGAAAAGCGGCAAGACTCAGAATGAGAACTAAGGAAGAAGCCAGGCCAAGCACCTTAGTGACCAAGTGAGTGTTTCACAGCTGCGATAGACTCACAAGATCGCGCACGACGAATCGATGGAAAATGCAAAGCAATTTCGCAGAGACCAGCGTTATCTGATCAGCATGCATGAGTTACAGGTCCCATCGCGCTACGGGGCAACTTACCAGTTAGAAGCCAGAGAAGGAAGGAGGCGCTTCAGCCTGTTATGGCAACACCAACCTACATGCTCGCTCTCAAGGAGCAATGCACCACGTTGGTTGAGGTTTTCTTTTTGTATGCTCCACTCACATTGAGGAAGCTTGCTACTCTTATGCTACCCTCTAGAAAAGGTTGGCTAGGTTTAGGTCTCGGCGTGCAGCGTACAGCATCAGGATGTTTCTGTGGATTCACCGCATTTGCAGCTTGGGACAATAGATATCAATTCGGACAACTCCGGTACAGTGACCACCCAACACGTGACCATTTCTGGGCGAGCAGCTCGCCCAGAATCTTCCCACGCCTCATAACTTGAAAAGCAGCAATCGTCCTTTATACCATGGCTGATTCGTGCCATATCTTTGTGTACTGTTGCTCTTCTTGGACTCACTCTTCTTCAGTTAATATATATATATATATTGTGTACATATTGTTACATTGCGTGCATATATTGTTACGAAAACATATATAGAAACAATGGAGGGAAGATAAATTGATGTAGGGGTGGCAAGAAGTTTATCCTAACGCGGACTAGAATAGAATAATACTAGGTGAAGATTTAGAACAAGTAAACGAGTGAATATGATAAAAGGTATACCGACCTCAGTCTCGCGGTTGTGAACGCAATGAGAACTGAGGGCGTCAGCGAAGTAAACATCGAGCTTTTAAGCGTCAATTAATCGAATGTAACAGGAGTGAGGATTATTACAAGTGAAGCGACCAACAGGTCGGAAAAAGGAAGATAAATGTTAAATAAACATATAGTGATAAGACAGTAGAAATAAACCTAACATCAATCATTGGGCATCTCACCGAGATAATGTAGGTTGGGTATCCTTGCGCTAAGCGTCGAACCAACCGTTGCTGTCTTACAACATATCCATGGGAAACGATGGTTGGGTGTCATAGCTTGTCTACAAAACAAACTATTTGAGGATCCCCTCGTCCATCATCGCCTGGACCGCAGCCTTCATGGAGCCACGAAGTGATTCCACGTCTTTGGCAGTGAACATGTCACCACCATCCTGCAGGTTGGCAGCCCGAACTTTGCTGAATTCACGCCTGAATTGGCTAAAGTCCTCCGGGTGCAGACGGGCATAATGGTGGATCACACACCGTGCCCCCCAATCGACCTCCGTTTCCTTGGAGTACACCAACGCCATGAACATCGCAGCCAGCACTTCTTTTGGCTCAGGTTGCCCAACCAACGAGCAGCCACTCGTCAGCCGTCGATGTGAGTCCAAGACATATGCTTCCAGCATTGCTGTCATGGTGTCGCACCTATCCATGGGGCCGCCCCTTTGCGACTGAAGGAGTCGGTCCACCCAACTTGCGTGCAAAGATCGAACCATGCATCGGGGCGAGAGGAAAAATGACCCTTGCATCAGGGCCCCTACGCTCAACTCTCCCTTGTCTTCCTTTGACACCATGAAGACAAAATGGACCTGGCCCGGGGCCATGATGCTAGAAAACAAGATTAACCACCATGGAAAATCGCTGGAGGGAAGAAAAACCCTACAGTGTTTGCCCCGGGCAGAGGACGAAGCACCCAAACCGGTTCGGGGAGTGGAACAGGTACTCGAATCCGATGCTACCTTGGGTATCCAAGTCGTCGTACTTAACGATCAAGGGGACCTCCAATTCAATGGGGAAGAATATCAGCTTGTAACCTGCAATGCAATGCAGGACGGTGCCGACCCCATCTTCATCCAGGTGTGGAGCCGTAAACGACCCCACGGTGGCCAGCATCGGTGTCCTCCAAGAGTTGTAATCTTCCGGAAGATCGCCTCCACGTTCGTCGAGGTACTCGAACAGGAGACCGTCGAGAGAGTTGAGGAGGCTGTGAAAAGGAAATGGATCATCAGCATGGTGAGAGATGGTAGAACACGGATTGTTACCTTTCCACAGGAAGACGGACAACCCCTTGAGGTGGTGTACGACCAACGGCCGTGAAGTTCGCCAATCAGTGAGTTCGTCAATCACTTGTGGCAGTGGCTCCCACGACTGTTCATCATCCTCCCCTGATCTGGAGCTGTCAGAATCTGGAGAGCATTCCCATGAGCTTGACAGCATGTTTCAAGGTAGGGCAACTTACTGAAGCATTGAACGTGAGCTGCCTTGCTCAACCGAGAGAGGAGAAGGGAACGGTCCAGCACGGTATCGCTGGGAGGCCCGACCAAGACAAGGAGGCCCACGTCGTTTACCAAAGATTGGAAATCCTCGGGAGACATGGTGAGCGCTTCAGCTTCCACCATTGCGTGGGGGGACCAGGTTGAGTCCCAAGCGACGGATGATACCAAGCGATTTAGCACGAGGATGGGTTCCTGGGAACGACGAGTTATCTCACTAGCTGGTTTTAGTCATGGGAAGAAAAGGACTCACGGAATCAGGCTTGCTAGGGAACTGGAATGTCTCCTCGTTCCATTCACAAGTCATACCATCATTGGTGGAGACGCAAGAGAAGGTGAAGCTATACAACACCTGCATCATGAATAAGAGATCATTGATTAGATTGACGTTCATGATGCAATCATGCTGGACACGCACCTTTTCGGTCGAGTGGTGAGAAGAAGAAGGATGCGGGGTAGAGTTGGGAACACGCGAAGTGGAGTCAGGGACGACCAGCTCAGGCCAATCGTTGATGTCGTCGAGGTCAGGGACAGCAAACTCGGCGATGAACTTACGCCAGTCATCATCCCCCCCTCTGGAGGTGGACCCCTTCGTGACAGTGGCAGCTGTGCCATCCTCCATCGACTTGTCTTCAGCCATGGCCTTCTTCTTTCCCTTTCTCCTCTTCGACGCCCGAGTGGCTTGGGCCTTGTACCCGTCGGAGTGGCCTACAGAGTGCTGCGAGCACGTGCGCTTTCGTTTTTGGAGGTCAACACCGTCTTCTTGCATCCGGTCAACGTCCGGAGGGGGGGCTTGGGGGCTCGAGGTGTTGTGGTTAAGGTAAGTCCATGTGTGGTTGAGGATGTAGAGGTCCTGTACTGCTAGACCCCCTCTCTCGCATACACTCACCACCACTTGGAGGATCGCGTTCTCCATCACAACCTCCCCACCGGAAATAGAGGGGAAGGGGGCCCCCTGACAGACATGCGACGCCAGCGACGTCCATGTGGGAACGGTGCCAGCCCGATTCATGGTGGTGTCCATCAGAAGGACAAGAGGAGAAACGCAGACAGCCAGTGCCAACGTTATGAACGGAGAGCTGGCGCCGTGTGAGCAAGAGTGAGTGGAAATAATACGATATACTTACTTTTCATCTTTCGTCCATTGGATGTGTTCATGCTGTAGGATCGTCAGGAAAGATCGTTCCCAGCAATTCCGGGAGGGGGGGGGGGCTTACCAGGCACTCAGATCCTAACTCGAGAATCTGACGGAGGCCCCATGCGGCATAAAGGATATTCGCTCCTAAGCGGCACTGGCCAGCAAGCGTCTCGAATGATTTGGCTTTATTTAAAAGCCGATTTGCGTCGCCAGCAAGGAGCGAAGTGGGAAGAACGCTTCCATCCGCTTCATGGGGCTGGTGCGTTATTTCGGCAATAAATCCGCTTTCCTGACCTGCAGGGGTGTAGTCGAGGAGGGCGAGACGGCACTGTTGCACCCAGTACTGGATCTCGCGCTTGTGTCCATGTACTCGCTGTGGACGACTGGGGATCTCCACAGGATTTGGATATGCTGGGAAGTTAGACGAGTACTGCGTCCACATTAGGGCTAGCCTTGTCTGAAGGAGCCCAAAGAAAACGCCTTGAAACATACGCCTCGCAGGAAGTATGCGAAACCTGTGTGATGACGAGAGGGATGTAGATGTCGGGGAGATCCCCGCCTGTTTTTTCTCCTCATTTTTTGTGAGGGTTTCTCGGTACTCGATCCAGTTTTCAATCCCGGAGCAACAGCTTTGGATGGCCTCCAACGGCAGGCCCGAGAGTGGGGGGATGGGGATGGTGGAATGCCCTTGGAAGTACGATATGATCTTTGAAAGCTCAGTGGGGACCCAGCTGTCATCCCAGATCAGTGATTCCATAGCAGTAGAAAGTGTCGGTAGTGATGGTTTTGGAACGAGAATCAGCAGCGATGAGCAACGAAAAAAAATAAGCAACCACGTCACGCGACGCTTGCCCGATTTAGTTTATTCATTCTTCGAGCTTGTTATGCTTATGGAATCGATCGACTGTTAATTCATTTGCTTATTTCCTTTGGGGCAATCCACCGAAAAAAAAACCGTTGAGGCGTTTACATATGGATGATCATTTTCCATGCATTTTTTACAGTGCGCCCAGTATCCATAACTGCTTATTTAACCAATGATAACAGCGCCTAATTGGTGTCAGTAAAACTAAGCGTTACAGGGAATATAATAAATGAGATATAAGGCAA